ACTGTGCACACTGTTACAATTTTAGTTTTGCTATTTGAGGGCTGGGTCATTTTTCTTAGATCTGTCATATTGTCTTTATATTTTCAGACAACCCTCCCCAGTAGACAAACTTCTGTTCCTCCCCACACGTCTTACCTCTAAAACCTCTGATGCAGCCATGCTGATTTCCAGTGAGGCTGGCTACCTCCACTGGTGGGCATTATTTGGTGCTAAACATGAAGTTGGTAAGTCTTTCTAAAAGAATTGTTCACAATATCCAATTAAAAAGTGCCTACAGTATAAGTTATTCATTGAAAACCAGAATACCAGAAATAAATCGGGGGCTGATAAGCTTGAAACAACTGACCCAACACTGGCTTCTATAAAAAACGATTTACAAGAAATCAAAGAATGTCTACAAAAAACAGTAAAAACAAATGATCTTGAAGCCATGGTAACAAATATTGTAAAAGGTCTTCTAAAGAACTATGAAGAAAAGCGAGAAATTCAGTTAAAAGAAAAAATCGGCGCACTTTCACAGGAAGTTGATAAACTAACAATGGAGAATGAAACTTTGAGAGAAAAACTATGTGAAGCAAATAAAAACACAAGAGAATTAGAAAGAGAAATGAGTGAGGTGCGAGATTTAGCGACATTTGCCACAGTAAAGGCCAATTATAATGAACAGTACAGTCGAAAGAATAATATCAAAATATACGGTGTAAAAGAAACAAAAAATGAGAACATCATTGAGGTTGTCAAATCTACATTGAAAGAGAAGGGGGGTGTGGAACTTGATGAACAAGATATAGTGGCGGTTCACCGGATCCCAGGATCCAAATCAAACGCCCCAAAGCCAATTCTGATTAAACTAAAGAACAACGACAGAAAGGCACACATCATGCGGCATCGATCAGCGGTCAAGGAAGCACCTGGAAATGTTCGACTGGGTGACGATGTTACTAAGGAAAACAGTGAATTAATCGCACGGCTGTTAGATAACGAAAGTGTATCATCAGCTTGGTACTTTAATGGATCGGTGTATGGGAATGTGAAAGGGAAACGCGTGAAATTTGATATCCTTGACGATATTGATTTTAAAGTAAAAAAAATCCGGGATTAAAAATTCTGACCATACCTCCTTCGACAATAGTTACCAAAACGCTTTTCCGGTCATAACTTGCATTAAATCTTCCAAACTGTGACTCACAACTCCATGACGGTAGTCAGCTTGACTTTCAGTTGATTTTTTTTACTGAAATAATTCAATTCATCTATATTGTTATATTTGTACTCTTACTCTCTTCTTTCTTTCTCTCTTTTAAGTTTCAAAATGAGCTCCGATTGTTTGTTTCCATGGGTATCAATTCGTAAACGTCTTGTAACTATTCTAAATGGTTAAAATTATTTCAGTGAACTGCCAAGGTTTAGGTGATATTGCAAAGCGCAAGGATGTTTTTAATTATTTAAGAGCCTTAAAATATAATATTTATTGTTTACAAGATACACACTTTTCATGTGATGTTGAAAACGAAGTAAGAAATTTGTGGGGATACCAGTGTTTTTTCAGCTCATACTCTACAAACTCTAGGGGAGTGGCAATTTTAGTTAACAGTAACTTTGATTTTAAACCTCTTTCAGAAAAGGGTGATGTTGATGGGAATTATATTTTACTTAAAGCATATATAGAGGGCCATGAAGTATTGATATGTAATATTTATGGTCCAAATAATGACACACCACTTTTCTTTGAAAACTTACAAAAATATATTGATGATATGCAGTGTAGTAATATTATTTTATGTGGCGATTTCAACCTAGTTTTAAATCCTAACTTGGACTATTACAATTACAAATCTATAAATAATCCAAAGGCAAGAGATAAAGTTTTGGAAATAATAGAAAATAATGGTTATGTTGACCCTTTCAGACAGCTGCATGAAAATGAGCGTAGATATTCATGGAGAAGGAAAACTCCATTGAAGCAAAGCCGTTTAGATTTCTTTTTAATATCTGAAACCCTCTTGTCAGGATTAGAAAAGTGCACTATAGATGCTAGTTATAGATCAGACCACTCCATAATATCCTTATCTATAGCTTTTAATGACTTTAAGAAAGGTAGGGGGTTATGGAAGTTTAATAACTCCTTACTTCATGACGAAAATTATCTAGATTGTATTAAAAATGTTATTTTAGAGGTTAAGAAACAATATGCAATCCCAGTGTATAACTTTGACAACATAGATAATATTCCAGACACAAATATTTCTTTCACTGTTAATGATCAGCTATTTTTAGAAACTCTGCTTTTAGAAATAAGAGGTAAGACTATTTCATATGCATCATATATCAAAAAGAAAAGAGAAAACAAGGAGAGAGATTTAATAGAAAATATTAAATTATTGGAAGAAAATGTTTGTGAAAATAATATTGATGAATTCTATAGTAAAAAACAAGAATTAGAGAACATTAGAAAACATAAATTGCAAGGTACTTATATCAGAAGTAGAGCAAAATGGGTTGAGGAAGGTGAAAAACCATCACACTATTTTTGCACATTAGAATCTAGAAATTTTACTAGTAAGATTATACCTAGATTGGAGGATAATTATGGTAATGTTATTTATGACCAATCAGAAATCTTAAAGGAAGCAAAATTATTTTATGAAAAACTATATAAAAAGAGTGCAGTCAACCCAAATACTGATTTATTTAATGAATTAAATAATGAAAAAATACCAAAGCTTTCAAGTAAAGAAGCAGAATCTATAGAAGGTGAAATTACTATGGAAGAAGCCTCAGATACACTTTACAGAATGAAATCTAATAAATCCCCAGGGTCTGATGGTTTTTCTGCTGAATTTTTTAAGATGTTTTGGAGATATATTGGTTCTTTTGTAGTTAGATCTATTAATTACAGTTATAAGAGTGGGAGTCTCTCTATCACACAAAGACATGGTATTATTACACTTTTACCAAAAGGCGATAAGCCAAGACAATACTTAAAGAATTGGAGACCAATCACTTTGTTAAATACCATCTACAAAATAGCATCTGGCACTATTGCAAATAGACTAAAAAGATACCTTGACAAAATTATCAACCAAGATCAAACAGGTTTTATCTCTAATAGATATATAGGTGAAAATACAAGGTTAATATATGATATAATGCATTATACGGAAGAAGAAAATATACCTGGGTTGTTATTACTTATTGATTTTGAAAAAGCCTTTGATACTTTGTCATGGAATTTTATTCAAGGAGCACTAAAATTTTTTGACTTTGGCCCCTCAATTAGGAATTGGATATCGCTTTTTAATACAGACATTACATCTGCAATAAATCAAGGTGGTAATCTCTCTGATAGAATTAACATCCAGTGGGGTTGCAGACAGGGAGACCCATTGTCTCCCTATATATTCATTATATGTGCAGAAATATTAGCAATCCAAATTAGATTAAACAAAAATATTAAAGGTATAACTGTGAACAATGTTGAAAAAAAGATTTCTCAATTAGCTGATGACACTTCTCTTATTCTTGATGGCAGTAAAGAATCCCTTACAGAAACATTGGTGGAAACACTAAAGAGTTTTTCAGAAATATCTGGATTACACATTAATTATGCCAAAACTCATATAGTGTGGATAGGTTCCAAAAAGTTTAGCAATGAAATTTTACTGCCAAATTACAATCTTAACTGGGGAACTACCAGATTTACTCTTCTAGGAATACATTTTGATGTGGAACTGGATAAGTTACAACAACTAAATTATGATCCTAAGCTAGTACAGATTAAATCAGTACTTAAACAATGGGGGAAAAGGTATCTAACTCCAATAGGGAAAATTACAGTTATTAAGACATTAGTTTTACCTATACTAAATCACATTTTAATGTCAATCCCAAACCCCTCTGAATCATACTGTAAAGAATTAGAAAAAACATTCTTCTCATTTTTATGGAATAATTCAATCCACAGGGTTAAAAAAGAAGTTATTGTTAAAAACTATGAAGATGGGGGATTGAAAATGATAAACCTTAAGTCTTTTATATCTTCTTTGAAATTATTTTGGATAAGACATCTCATTTTTACAAATAGGGGCATGGAACACCTCATCCCAAATTTTAACTTAGAGAAATTTATAAACTGTGGGACTGATTATGTCACAACTTTTCTGAAAACTTTGAAAAATAAATTTTGGATAGACGTTTTCAAATCCTGGTTAATATTACAAAATCATGAGAAAACGTCTGAGGTTACTGGTGACTCGCCTTTATTTTATAATCCAATGATTCATATTGGGAGAAAGCCTTTTTATAATAAAGAACTGTTTGACAGCAACATTAGACGGATTAATGATATTATTAATGAAGATGGCTCACTCTTAAGTTTTGAATCTTTTTGTAATACTTATCCAAAAATAAAGATTAATTTTTTAGAATATAGTAGTATTATTCATGCTACTAAATTTTGGATAAAAAATTCTGGTCTTGACAAACCTATCAAAAAGCTAGAAAATCCATTAGTTATGTCAAATATTTACAAGGTGATGAAATGTCGTAAATCCAAATGTTTTTATGAAATTCTTAATCAAAACTCTTCTGTGTCAACAGGTAAAACAAAGTGGAGTGAGATTTTACAGGTTGATGATAAAGAATGGAAAAAATTTCACAAAATACCCTTCAAAGTGACAAAAGACTGCAAACTCCAATGGTTTCAGTATAGAATTACAAACAGAATTTTAGCAACAAATTCATTTTTGTTTAAAATTAAAAGAAATGACTCTAAATACTGCAATTTTTGTCACTCAGAAGAAACAATAGAACACCTTTTATGGGAATGTGATTACATACAATTATTTCTAGAAGAATTTGTAATGTTTCTTGAAGATAAGACTGGTGTAGTGATAAATATTATGAAAAAATCCTTTATTTTAGGTTATATAGAGAATTATGCTGATATTCAAAATACTATTATCCTTTGGCTTAAGTATTATATTTATACAGCAAGATGTACCGAGAAACCTTTGAATTTATGTGCTGCAATATCACAAATGAATCTTTATTATGAAACACACAAGTTTATTTCGTATAAAAATGGTGGAAAGGAAAAGTTTGATGCCCAGTGGAACAGATGGAAGCAGCTTTTTTCTTAACTCTCTCTCTCTCTCTTTTCTCTCTCTCCTTTATCTCTCTATTTATTCTATAAAAAACACATCATGTTGTATTAACTTCAATGTACAATAATGTAAAAGAGATGTGAATTAAAAAAAAAAAAAAAAAAAAAAAAAAGAATAAATAAGCTTGTTGGGAGCTATAGAGGATGAAAAATCATCTTTTTATATTGCTGTTGAAATTAACTTTTAATTATATCACGTACATGCTGATATGAAACGGCATGGCTTATTCATTTATCGTTCATTAACGATCCTTATTTTTAATCATTGTTACAATTTATACCACAACAGGATATTTCTATGCCCCTGACACCAAGGACGAATCAGTGCTAGGATTGTGTACTGACCCATCCAATGATACTCTGTATACAGGGGACACGGCTGGCAACATTAAAGTATGGGACATCAGTGGCTACTGTAGACATGCTGAAGAGAGGGTGAGGGTCCCAGAACTTCATTGTTAGAAACCCATTTAATTTCATATATGCTTCCTCAGGGTTTCCAATGATGCTAGAATTATTGAGAAATTGAGAAAAACAGTTTTCCTCGTGAGATGCATGAAATGATGGATATATCTCTATGTAAAACACTTTTCATGAAGGATATATCTATATACAAAATGTTTTTTAAAGCTGTATGACTTTTTGTTACAGAGAATAAAGACTAGTCCTGAGTTAATAGAGAGCTGGAGAGCTCACGACTCAAGTATTGTGAGCCTGGAGTACATTGAACATGAGGACGGGAACTACATAGTGAGTGCCTCCACGGATCAGGCAGCCAGACTCTGGTCAACAGAGGGACATTATGTTGGAACATTTGGTCAGGTGGGTATTTTGAATTCTTTGGACTGATTCTGTTCCCTTTCAGATATAGGTTGTAACTAATGTTTTACGGTACAAGTATATTATTTTTTTTGTTGATAAAGTGGCCCAAACATAAGGCTCCTTTTGTCCAGCATTTGTTTCACAAATGTCATAAAGGGCTTGTCTTAATTTTAAGTCAATTTCTCTCAAAGGCTCTTCTGGTCTAAAGTTGAAAATTAAGGATTGAACGAATCATTTTTTTGTTGCAAATTCACAATAACATCTTAATCATTCAGAATTTATTTTTGTTTTCAGAAAAAGTCTTGGAACTTGAAAAATAAATCAAGCTGGATGCATCCAAAGACTCCTTGGTCCACAAAATCTGTTAGTTCGTCAGGTATGCAATAGATCTTAAACAATTTTTCATGTGCCATAGCATAATGAGAGGGAGATAACTCATTTATTGTGTACCGTTATAAAAAATCCTTACCATTGTTATTTGCTTGAAGGTAAATATTGGAACACTTCCTCTTCAATTCTACTTGAGTTGCATAATTTGCCTTGGTTGATATTTGCTTTGTTGTCCATATAATGAAAAATATTGATTGGCATGTGAAATTACAATCAAAATGATAGTGGCAAAATTTATTGCACATGCCATAAAAAGCTACACAGAAATTTCAAAATGTATTTTATCAACACTGGGAGGTAAATTGGATTTTTGCTGATAATGGGAGTGAAATGTGGACTTATTGTTTAAGAGTGTCTGAATGAAATTATTTGTAGCATGGTAAATATTTTTGACATGTGTGTCCTTTGTTTGGGTTTTTGCTGCAAGTTGATCTGTTTTATTTCTAATGACCACTGAATTTTATGAACAGTTCATTTAAAATAAATGGCAGGAGGATTATAAGAGTGGGGGTATTGAAAAAGAAAAGTTTGTTTATTTTTTCCAGAATCAAAATGTATTCCAAATAGTCCAGTCAAATTGTCATAAACCTTAAACAAATTGCAACAGAATTTTTTTCTTTATTTATAATTAGTAAATTGTATTATAATCAACATATAAAAACTCTAGAAAAATATATAAAGGCGAAAGATGTGTTTTTCAGAAATAAATATTTACTGGTCTGATAAAATATGTATTGCAGAAATGTGCTACCATATGCACCAAGGGAGACAATTTTAACCACTGTAAACAAATCACTTTTCTTCTTAAAGAAGCATAATAAAATTTATAATTCATTTTGTATACATGCTTTGGTTTAAATTTCACCAATGCACTGGAGATATAAGATCTGAGAATCTTATATATGTCTAAACTTAACGATATATTGTTGAAACCTTAGTATATACTACATTATCTGCATCACAATTTTTAAGCATGTAGGAACCTTTCTTTCAAATATTAGGTCTATGAATCACAAGAAATTATGTATTAATCATGTATTTCTGTAAAAATTCAATCTTCCAATTAATAATAACTTGTGCACATATATAACATGTATAAATTAGTGTTTACTTCTCTTTTATTAGATATTGGAAACGTTAGGGGAAATATTCTATGGAAAGTTGTTAGTGGTATTTTTGCAACATAAAAATATTTTATTACCTACAGTTGTAAAAGTTATATTTTGGTGTATGACCTTGTTTAAAGATTTTTTTTTCTTTAGAATATTGATTATATTAGTGAGATCTACTTTGCTATTTCCAAAAAAAATAGATTAGGCCATCTTGGAAAAATTTTTTGGTTGCCCTCTCCCGACTGACTGACTAAAAATGGCCCGACTCAAAACTTTTTTGTTTTTACATTCCAGGACATCATATTTTTTTTCTTTTTATTCCTCTTATCCTGTCAGCAAATATGTTGAAATTGTCTAGAAAAAAAAGATTTTCTTACCTACCTGCCGATTTAATAATTTTACCCTGAATCAGGAGAGGGCAAACAAACAATACTTTAATGATGGCCTTATTCATATTTTGGGGGGGGGGGGGGGTGTGCATAATCACTATAATTATGCTTATTATGTATAGTATATTTTATTGTAATTTGTAAACATATTTCTTAAATATTATATTTGTGTCACTTTGATTCAGATTTCGCTTCTAGTTTCTATTTAACATAACCCCGGAGCCAAGTAGGGTCACACGAGGGCCGGGATCTAAATTTACAGGAAGTCTTTGAAATAAGCGGCGTTGTGGATTATTTGTATTTTTTTAAACACATCCTATTATGTAATAGATTTGTGCATTTCAGCTTTTTAAAAACTACACAACATTATCGACTTATTTTCCAAGTAGCATCCCAAATACACCTGCATATATAAGAAAAGTTTTGTAAAAATACTATTTTCCTATCACGAAAAATGAAATTTATCACTTAAAAGAGCATAGAAAATGATCAGATAGGTAATTTAATTGTCATAAAAATGACTCTAGATCTAAGCCTCTATAAGCAGCGCTTGTGAAGATTGGTTGATTGTATGTTGTTTTACGCCCGGTTCAAGAACTTTTCACTTATATAGAAACGTCACCATAATTATATCGGCAAAGTGCTTGAAATTTAGACCTTTACACGGCGCTTAGGGCTATTGAGCAGTGAGGGTTCTTTATCATGCCAACGCCTACATGTACCATGATATGGGGCCTTTAATGGGGTTTTTAAAGTCTCATCCTAAAGACCTGCAACGTTTACTTCAAAGTGCCGAGAGCTTAAATGATGTGATACCCCCCCCTCCCCCCCGAAACACACACACAAATTACAAAATAAATCCAAAGGAGATATAAAAACTATCAATGAACATTATATTGAATACAAAAAGAAGCAATTTGAATATATACTATTGAGGTTGACATTTAGGTGAAGAACCAGTTCCAGTTTCAAGATTATCATTCATTTATTTTTTAGATATTCTGTGGCACCTTCAATGGATTTTTACGATATTACTTTTTATTATATCTTTTAATTAACCTTTCAGATAAAAGCAATGGGGAAAACTGACTTTTAAGATTTCGTTCAAGTGATACGTATCCATAGATATGACGTATTTCAGATGAATGTCCTAAGCATGCATTGCTTTAAAGGGAGATTTGTCGGGAAGGGGGGGACTGACCCCCTCCCCCTGAGATTTTCAAGAGTTAAAAGGTTATATGTAAAAGTAACAAAAACATGTCTATGAACCCATTTCCCCAGGACACTTATTAAAATGGCAACAAGTCATGTGCATTATGAACCCATTCCCCGGGACACTTATTTAAAAGGCAAGAAGTCGTGTGCATTATGAAAAGAGACCCCCCTCCCTCCCTTCTCCTCTGAAAAGGTTTTTAAGTTTGAGGCAATTAATTTTATTTATTTTCATTTCCTTTTACTTATTTGTTTATTTATTTATTTATATTTGCTTGTCAGAAAACTTCCGAGACTTGACATCTGTGATATTTAATATGAACCCTCCCCCTCCACCCCCCACCCCTGATAAAAATTCCTGGGATGAGTGCTTAATTGTCCCCTATATATAATTTTTAAAAAAATTATTTTAACTAATAAAACTTGTCATTCCTACTATGGCTACATATTCTTTATCCCTACACAAAGCCATACTGAGGAATTGGAATAGTTTTATTTTTCAATTAATTCCGTTGCCATGGAAACAGGAATTCATAACAATTAATGAAATAATTACCAGTTTCAGTGTGCAGGATTCATTTCTGCATGACCTATCAAGAAAATTCAAGATCATATAGATGGCAAAACTATTTTTATGCATATATAGAGTGTCTTTTTAAACAGTGATTTATCGGCATTTTTGAACAAAAATCGGGTTTTTTGAAAACTGAAAAAAGTGATGTTTGGACAAATATATTTTTCTAGAGTTTTGATATATCAAAAGGCACATTATAAATAACAAAATTCTACTGGAATAATTTCTGTTGCAATTTGTTTAAGGTTAGGGTGTTTTAGGACTAAATTGACTGGACTAAAAGAACAAATATAGGCATTAATTTTTCTCTGATGATCTCTCAAAATACAATATGTACATGTATATTCATTTTGAATTATTAATGCTGCATAGATCAGAGATTGGGGATCATTTTATATCTGTCTATAAACTTTAATCTGAACTCAAGGTCAATTTTGCAAACTCAAGGTCAAGGTCACATGACTTGGAAGTTCAAAATTGCTATCTTTTCAATTACTTTGTCATTGAAGCTTCTACTTTGCACAACTGTAGGTTGTAAACAGACGTAAGTCACAGCCTTGAACCAAAATGAAGGACATCCTTTTTCACAAATGCATCTTTGCAGAATTTATATGACTTTATTTGGTTAAGCTATGTTTGCTTCTTAAGAAATAAGACCAAGAATGAAACATTTCTATCTTGATTAGTCCAGGGTTGAGTGCTTAGTAGGACATACTCTTTATGAAGAAGCAGAGCAGTAGAGGTTTTTCAGTCAATATACATGTACAATGTATTAAACCATTTTTTCATCGAAGTTGGTGCACATTTTGGCTACAATAAAAAGATGATTTTATTGATTTTGGATGAAAGATTACCATAGTTTTCTTCAATACATATAAGTGATTTCCAATCAAAATCTTAACAATCATGTGCTTGATATTCATCAGATATTTGAACAAAATGGCCACTTTAAATGGTATAATAACCATTGCTGATTTTCAGGGCAGAGATCCTTTTATATGTTTAAGTAAAATTTTATCTGAATGGAATATCTTGGGAACTGCTACTCGATAAGTGAACAAACTAAATTCAGAGATTAAAATCATACTTTCATATTTATTATACATAATTTGATAAATAGCGCACCGTTCTGCAGTTGCCCTATGGTGATCAGTCTATTCATCGGTTATCACTTGTATGGAGCATATTTTCTCTCCCCCATAGAGTGCCTACTGGTAATGGGTTGGCAGTGACCTTGAAACAAGATTCTAGGTCATAGGTCAAAATATATCTCTGTGTAAATCATTGTTCAGAGAATGTCCCCTTTGCCCTATCAGGCCAAAACTTTATCCTCAGAGTGGCCATGGGTAAAAGGTGTGTTGTGACCTTGAACCATATTTATAGGTCAGAGGTCATGACAGATCTCTTTGTAAAATCTTTGATGTGAGAATATTTTCTTTCCCCTTTGTGAAAAATAGGTTGTCAAAAATAGATTGACAAAAATTAATGATGCTCAAGGGTAGATTGTGATCTACATACTTCTTGTTTTAGTAAAGAGCCAAAATACATGTATTTACATTGATTTACTCTGTATAATTTTTACATCATGAACGTATATAAAAGTATAGAATATTGCATATTAAAGTAAAAAATATTATTTTGTAAGCAGCAGATAGCAAAAAGAGCAGAAAACATAGCAAGAACGACTCTGTATCCAGTATGAAAACGCTGACAAACAGTGAAGTGGAAAAGGAGGAGGTAACTCCAGTAGCTAATGGAGTCTCCAGGGAAACAACGGAAAATGGGGAGATCGAGAGACCAAGTAGGGAAAGGGGAAAGCGACTTCAGGTATCATTGTTGCTGCCATTTAGTATGTTAAAGTATAGCCATACACACTGTGTGTTGTTAGTTTAAAGTATTTTGCATTGGTGGGACGTACTTTTCTGAGGTTTATTTGATTGGCTTGAAAATGGTGATGGTTTCATATTTACATGTACATGTGTTGGAAATTAATTTAAGTACACATGCTTCCAAATTTTTTAAAGTTGCTAAGTCATTTGTGCATTTACTTTATGTATTATATAAATACATGTAATGCTTAAAAATTTACCAAGAAGAAAACAAGTTTTTGGATTAATTATTATGGAAAGTTGTCCACATTATTGTTCTTTGAGTAAAGTGGAGAAAAATTAAGGCTGTCAAGTTTTACAAAAGACTGATGATTTTCAGAGGAAATTATTAAAAAAAGAAAATTCATTTAATGTAAAAATAAGATGTGTTTACAACATGCACAGTTTACTTTGGTGATGGCATTGTGTCATTAATCACTGTTACAGGAGGGTGAGGAATTGAATGGTGAAGGAGAAGATAGCATAGACTCTGATTTTAATCTGGGTATACGGTCTCAGTCATTTGCAACGGGCCCTCCCAGGGTGGAAAGATCACAGGTATTCACTACAGGGGCATAATCTTTCAACTTATGAATTTTTCTTCAAAACAAAGTCAAGTATTGACAAGTGATTGTGTAAGTGGCAAATGGAAAGATTTTGATGAAAAGGGGGAAAACCCTTCAGATAAAAAAAATCCATTTATTGAAGAATACATGATGTACATGTATGCTGTATGAGATGATTTGTGGTGAAAAAGTATTCAAGTGTCCTGAATTTTGTAGACATTCCTTGGTTCCAAAGTTGCTCAACAGCTACAGACTATCAAAGAATCAAGGATAGATCGTAGGAACAGACTCAGTAAAGATGTCAACTTCAAAGATATTCACAAGTTTGGCAAGATCTGTTCACCATACAGGGCTCTAAATACAAAGGTCTGCATACTTATTCTAATTTTACTTTTGAAAACTCCATATAAAAGAGCAATAATAAATGTATATCATAAAGGTTCATTTGAAAGTTTATTATTTTGTTCAAAATTTGGTGAGGAACTACAGTCAAAATAAAAACTGGTTTGTTTTGCTTAATATCGATCACACTCAAAGTATAATATTTATTGTTATGGCCATGTTTATATATGTCTGTTTGCCCTTTCCCAAGCGACTAAAAATGGTCTGACTCAAAACTTTTTTAAACCTCCAAGAAATGATAATTTGATTTAGGATTTATATCATTAGGAGAAATATATATGAAAACCAATGATAATTAAACTTGTATATAAGTTAAATGTTAGAATTTCTCAATGAGTCTAGTTTATGAATCTCAGAACAATTAATATTTTACAGGATGTTGAGGAGATCCAAATCCCTACAATTCTCCCTATGAGCCAGAGGATGTTAAACAAGGGCTACAACCCAGAAAACATGACTTCCGACACCTTAAAGAACATGGACTTCTCCTACAGCAGTCCCGATACACCCCCTGCTGACGACCAGGCGGGAGAAAGAAGTAAGGATAAGATCCCAATTAAGTCCCAGACCGCCGGGAGCCATCGTAAACCTGTAAGGCTGACCCCGCTGAAGAAGACCAATACTGTTATGTGAAGGAGAGAAATTGCATAGTGCTGAACTCAAGTGCTTGAATCCAGACAATTTTGACTGAAACTCAGTTTATTGACAAATTGGGAGTTTGAATGTAAAAAGCTTTACTGACTGTTAGTGGGAACTTTTCTGTCACTGGTTTATTTAATATTGTACTGAGCTAGTCATTGCCAGGCCAGAAACGTGTGTTTAAAAAATTATATACGTTTTAAGATGTTAGAAATTCATTGTCTGGATCAAATCTCATGAAATTGAATATAAAATATTTCGAGGTTGATAACAATTTTAATACATCTGAATTCTTAATATTTTAAACAAATTTTAAAGTGTATATGTCAGCTTTTGATGTCAGTATATATGCACTTATTGCTACTTTAAGCTCATTAACAATGTTGCACATACTGCAAACATACTTATTTGAATGATTTTCATAATTTAGCGCCCTTTTTGCTCCTTCTTCGCTATTTCATGTATATACGCCAATACATGATTAAAACTAATATGTCATTTTTAAGACTCAAGTGCGCTAATTTATGTACGTTAACAGTATACATACATCAGCCTGACACCTTGACTATTGTAAACCAACTATTATTCGCGATTTGTCAGTTTGAAATCAATTAATCTGCGACGATTAATTTTCGCGACTGAGGAATACAAAGCAAAATAAGTGGTTCTCAGTGATTAATATTTGCAAGTTAAAGTAGGTTGCGAAACTCAGAAATATTTCTCGCACACGGATAAAAAGTTGGTTTACAGTATATGTCTCGATTGCAGATGTTCTGTGATATCTTCCTTACTGATACATTTTATTTTAAATGCCCATTGTCTTTCATGTAGCACATTGTGATGTATTAATTTATAAACTTTATGTTCAGTATATTTTTTTTCTTCTTTACAAAAGTATGACTTTATTAAAATACTTATATATAATTATTTTAGATATTTAAAGAAAAATAAAAGTCTGAAAGTGAACCTTTTGAATTTTTCTGAATGTTGTGTCTTTCCCTGAAACTTACACGTACATTTATCTTTAAAGTTTTGACATCATTAAGCATGATGTTCCAGACTGTGAGTAGAATATTTCTGGAGGCAGAAAATCACAGCTATTGATACATATATGTGATGTAACTGTATAGCTTTCCTTGTGCATAATTTAGGAATGACTCTAATTCTTGGCCAAATTATTCGAGTATAACCTGGTTTGGGTCAGTTTACGCTTTATAATCCGCAAAGCGGATTATAAAACAGCGTAAACTGACCGAAACCAGGTTATACTCGAATAATTTGGCCAAGAATTAGAGTCATTCCTTATAATTTAATTTTAAAATCATTAAATAACTATGGGTGTAAAATTTCGTTGCTTTTTATTAATTCAAATTTGCCGCTCAATAATACAACCGTAGTAACGAAAGTCATGGGAAGTGAGGGGAGGTAAAAACTGATACATAGGCCTAGCAGCTTTGTTGTTTGTTTACATGTGGTAAGATCGAATTATTGTTTGAAGTTAAAGGTACATTTATTAAATCTGGAATTTTCCATGAATCCCGAGGACTGGAAATGAGAGAATTGCATGGATACAGACGATTCAGCTGGTTGTCAGGGGGGGTGTCCCCATACCAAACCAGGTTATACAGAAATAATTTGTGTTCCTTTTTGGATATTAACCAATCACAGGCTAGAATACAAACAAAATTAAATTATTTTATCTTAAACATTGATGCACCTTTGAACTTACTGTGTGAAGCAGGCATGACTAAGGGAAAGGGAGATTTGATGTATAGATAAGTATCACAAGCTGAGTAAGGAATGATCTGCCATGTGGTCAACTTTTTGAGCAAAAAATACAAATGAAAGATCTTGATACAAGTCAAACAGAGAGCTTGATGGAAAAAAAATTAACATTTAAAGTGCACTATACTCTGGTTGTCAACACGTAAAGGGGAATAACTCTGACACCAATAGATGTTACAAGAAATTCCAGAGAAGTATTTGGTCTAGAAAATTCCTTCATTTCGTTAAATGTCTAATATAAAATTTTGGCTGAAGTCTATGTGTAGGATTATATAAGTGAAGAATTTCCTCCTCAAAAATACCTGGCAGTAATTAAGTTCCAGCTAGTGCAAATGTACATGTATATATATATGTACTTGTAACTTGCTCAATGCCTAGATTAAAATTATCTGTTTCTCCTTGTTGACTCACCATCTTGACCATAATGGGGATTTCATTTTTTTTTGTTGCTGAAAACTAAATGTTTTCATGTTAGCAAGTTTCTAATTTTGTTTAACAGTCAATATGGAAATATTTGCTCAAAGCAGCAATATCTGTTTTTGATAAATAGCAAATAAAATTTTCTGTAATATAACTACTAAAATTCTAGAGAATTTTAGTGTTCAGTATCTTAGCAATTTATAGTGAATGGTGAGTTTGCAGTACCTTTAAATTTATGACCTAGCTGAATCATTCTGAATATGACCAATCAACATCGAAAGCCCTGCTGTGCATAACCAATTAAGTGATAGATTTTTTGATACAGAATTTTTGACATTTTTTTTTCCAAACGAGATTGCAGCAATAATTAATTTGGATTTATATTGGTTAAGGTATTGCCCATGAGCCTCAATAAAATCCTTGATAAGAAAATCTAGGGCTTTTGGAATAATATATGCAGAGAATGAACTCTTGCAGATGCTGATATTGCACTTTTTAACTGTTGATACCAAGACTGAACAGTTCTCATTAAATTTGATAATTTTGACAAAAAATCAATACAAAACAATAAGGAAATGTTAAAGCTATACATATAATAAAGATTTCAATTTATAGAACTTTTATCAGTGAATATTGGCACTAGCAAGCCTGTGCATTTGTAAATATAATTCATGCCAATATTCACCAATATATTCAAAGTTCAATAACCCTATAGTATTGGGGGCAATATTTGGGGTTGGTTACAAAAGGAAAACTAACAATTTAAAATTTTAATTTTGCTTGATGATAAAAATAACAAAAACCTAATTTTAGAAATAATTTTTTTTATTAGCAGAATATAGATCAACAAAGACTGAAGATGTATAAATACTGTTCAATACTGCTTGTGCACATTTTGAGTCTACATTTTGGACGGAATCACTGAGACACTCTTCAATCTAGGTGCATATTAAGTACATTTGATTAATACAACAAAATTTTAATTTTGATTAATTAATTATCCGATTCTGAGAATTCATCTGATTCTAAAACAAAATATATAATGACAGTTTTTTTTTTTTTCTATTCCACACATTCATTTGACAAAATTAAGTTAAATGATATATTTTCAAATGCCAGGCATAAAAGAAATGTATAAAATTAAATTTGAATACAATTTTTTATTTTAAGAAAAATGTATATGATATTAGGAATATTATATTGGTACTCGGTACAAGGGAAAAATAAAGTTTGAGCATGCCAATAAGAAAACTGTTTCACACTTACGTATATAGGATTTTTTTTATTTTACTCTACAGCACCAATGAAATATTGAGCGAAAAAAGATAACATGTTCCCCCCCGAGAGAAAAATGGAATTCTTGTTACAAATTTTCAATTAAAATAATGGATTTAAATAAAACAGTGTATAGGAAATATCTCCAAAATATCTAACTAAAAGTGTATAAAAAACAATATCACAGGCTTTTTTTCTCGATCCATTTTCAATTCAAATCAATTTTGTGGACTAAAAAAAATACAAATGACTGGATCTTCACTAGGAAACAACACATGTATTGCATTCAACAACAGAGAAATCAAACAAAGAATTTAATTATTATATAAAAACTAAATCACTAGAAATATTTAACAATATGACATGCTTAACAATACAGTTTAGATGTGCAATTACAAGTATTCTATATTGTGAACATTAAATGTAATATAGAAAATAATTCTATTGCAGAATTCAACCCTGCACAAAAATTTTTATCACAAATTTATCTCCTTTTTACACTGAGAAAAAATACAAAATTTCAAATGCTGTCATATACCAGTAATAAATTAACATGGCTAGAATATTTACAAATTGCACATAGTGAAAGTGGTGCATACAAATACACAAAAAATGAATATACTTTTACAAAATGCCACTATGTCTTGCCCCCTGTTTTGTGCCTTATGGTGAACTGTACTAAATTTCTATAAATGTGGCTTTGGTTCTTGAATTTCATTTGCTGTAGCTGTTTTCCTTTACAGAAGTTTTTTTTGTCACCCTAAAAAAAACTTTTCATTTGGAAAAGTACTTTATGTATATACAACAGAGAGGAGAAAACTTCTAACAAAAATAATATAACACTGCTATCTAGAGATATAAGTTGGAATCTATGCATCTCCTTGGACTGGAACCTCGATTGCCTCTGTGGATTGGGCTGACTCGTCAGGGGCGGGGGTTGTGTGGGAGGATTCCTCAGCGTCATCTCCCCTGGTGTTCTGGGGGTGAGCTGACTGGGGACGAGAATCACAGCGACTGGTTGATCTCCTAGGAGAGGCCCGGGCTGATGTGGGTCTCTGTGGTGTATGCATGACCCTATGCCCCGGGGGTGGGGATACAGTTGTCTTCCTATGGGATACAGGCACTGGGATTGGAGAGCGGGATCGATCCTGAAAATCAAGTAGAGACAAATTTTTCACAACAAGAAAGAAAATATAATCTCTCAGTACAAATGTACCTGAAAAAAGGCTGAGAAATTTATCTGATCAAAAAAACCATACAAATATGTATCATATGGCTTGAATAATCATGGAAGATAAAAAAAAATTAAATGTATCATATGATTTTATCATGGAAAATGGAAGATATTAAATTAGAAAAACTCTGTGAAAACTTCACACAGGGTTTCAGAAATTGTGAATTAATATTATCATGAAAAATTCAAATGCACAGTGGCAGCTAGAACATGTAGTTTTTCATGATTCAACATGTTTTACAGCCTTCTTCAAGAATCTTGGACCACTTTTCTCAATCATTGTCTCACATATCAGTGAAAGCTCTAGCTCCTTTACCAGTTAATCATTCCTTTTTCCAGTTCTTAATGCGATACCTGTTTAGTGTGGATATAATTCTGGTACATACTCTGTACTAAACTTTTGTTATTACATACTAGTGATTACATGTATATATAAATACTGGCATAGATAACAATTCTATAATTCCATCACCTGTCCATGCAATTGCAAGTTACGTAAAAAATTTCAAGTTGTTCATTAAAATTTATATACGTATGAACTCATTTACAAGCTAACTATTTCTTCTGTTTATTCTAGCTGAGTTTGAGGAGCATGGATGAAGAGTTGAAGCAACCTGAATGAATATGAGAAAAATGGAAAGGTTCACTCAGTGCACACACACTAGATTTTAATACATGTATTGCATGGGTACATGTTGGTCATGTGCAACCTACCATCATATAGGCCTGGGGCATATCTTTATACCCATATTCCTAAGGAACAAACAGCCAATAAATATATACATAAAGTATTCAGTCATCAGCATCATAAATGAAACTTTCAACATAAAGTTTTTCTTATGATTTTATCAAAAATCATCAGACTTTGTACCAGTGAAGATATTCAATGTTGTGTTTTATAATCAATTAATGTGATTCTAAATGATCCAATGATGTTGAAACATGCAAAAAATAATTTGTAGTTTATAAGGCTTATTGGAAGGAAAAATGTGAATATATAGGCTCTGTATTTAGTTAGTATTCTAAAACCTGGGTCTCATTTCATGGTATGGATATCATAAAAAAAGAAAAAAAAGAGACTATACACATTATATTCTCGGAATAAAAATTGCATGCTGATTCTATCAAAACTTTCTTTGATACTTTGAATATATATATTCTAGTTGCTACAAAAAAAAAAAAAAATTATGTATGAAATATTACCCAAAATAAAAACTAAGGCTACTTAATAATGCTCTTCATGCTAGTTTTTCAAGTGAATATACTTAAATATTCTGATACATATACAAATATCTTGTGATGTGATCATATCCCATTTAATACTGTGTACCTGTCCATGTTCAACCTTGAATCCCCATCTAACTTGACGAGTCTGAATACAAGACAATATTTTTCTTTACATAAAGAAGTTTATACGTTTATCAGGTCACCGTTAATCTAAAGCTATAGCGTAGTTTGCATTACTGAAAATCAATAATGCATTACCGAAATTTTTTTTATCAATACTGAAAATATTTATAAATCATTACCGAAAATTTATGTGAATCTCTGAATCAATGTATAGCATTTCTGAAAAATTTTTTGTTAGTCAGGTTGTACTGTTGCCCCCCTTCTTACCAGGGTAAAGTGGAAGGGGACTTTGAGAAGGAATTTTTTTTTATAAAAGTATAATTAATAATTAGCATTATTTAAAAGATTAGATATTTAAGTCAATTTAAAACTGGATTAAAATGCTCATAATCATCAATATATATATATATATATATATATATATATATATATATATATATATATATATATATATATATATATTAGGGATGTCAATTTTATTCGGACAGCTTAGTCGAATAGTCGGAGGCTTTATTCGAACGATAGTCGAATATTCGTTGAAATTCAAATTAATTTTTCATGGTATTTTCACTATTTGTCTTTTATATACTAGTTGTACAATATTTAAGCTACGCTATAACCATTATACAACGAATTTCTGAATCGTAAGCATTTACGTAGTAAAATAAATATTGTACATCTACATTTATCCAATACATTTGATTTCAAAATTAATATAATATTTATTGCATATTTTATCTAAAAGCAGGATATCAAACGCTTGCATTTGTCCTTTCTTTTCATAACGATAGTACATGTACCTGTTAATTGAAGCTGTTTCTACATGTCGTGTCAATGACCTTTGACTGGTAAACAATTAAAGCGTGCCTCTTATAAAAACAGAGAGAGCTTGCCATAAATTTTAATTATGAGATTTTGTGCAAATAATCAATACAATCTTAAAATGACTGCATGATATTAATATCAGAAAGAAACACCATTTAATTATGTTCATAACTGTCCCCCAATTTACATGTATTTACAATTTTGTAACAGCTATTTATTTATTCTTTATGAATAGTTGCATTATGTCAGATCTTATGGAATTGCAGGTTGAAACTTTATAATTTGAGTCTACAAAACCAAACAATTCTTGAACGTCCTCTCCATTTACAACAATAAGTGGTAGACAATCCTTGATAATCATGTTTTTGATAGCAACATTTTTCTTTCCGGCTCTGCTTTTTTGGGCATTTTGCGGAGAACTTACTTAAGAAAAGTTTCACTTGAAGACTGTATTTACTACATGTATATGTTTGACGGATTCCGCATATGATAATCATATTTGATAATGTTCCACTGCAGAATACAAGTTCAGTTTCACATAATTAACCTTGAAAACGCACTTTTAACTGTTTTTCCGTAACTGTTTTGTAGATTTTGGAGGCATATTTGCCGAACATAAATCAACATACAAATAATTGCCTTTGAACAGTTAAACCATATCCTGAGTTTTACTCACGAGAACATTGATCTGTATATAAATTAAATGGGCGAATCCAAGTTTATTACCTTGAATTTAAAATTACTTTCAGGTAACACATTTTTAACGAATAACCGACTAAAGAAATTTTAGTCGATAGTCGATATGATCGAACGATAGTCGAGTACTCGAATATTCGTTGACATCCTTAATATATATATATATATATATATATATATATATATATATATATATATATATATATATATATATATGGAAATGTATCACTCGAGTGGCATGCCTCCATTAACACAGACAATGTACTTCTGGATTCAGCAGCGAAAAATTTCAACCAACTCTGCAAACCAGAGCTTCATAGTCTATTTTTCATATCCTGATATATATTCATTGTCCATATCTGTTTACAATTATGTCCAAAAACAGGAAGATATTTGGGTGACTTAATGTAAATGGGGCATTAACTTCAAGTGAAACACGTACATGTGCTTTTAATTTGAATTTATGGTAATGATATCTTTCTGAAATGAAAGAAACTAATTTTCTCATCAGTAAATATAACTGACCATTTTTTGGTAATGCAATGAGCCAGCTATAACAATACATGTATGTATCTTGTTTTTATACAGCTGATGCAATTAGTAAAAGTTTTATTGAAACATTTTAAAAAATTGTTTTTCATCCGACAAAAACATAAAATTTCAAATCAATAAGAATGCCCTTAGGGTGAAAATTAAGCCACTGAACTTAATAACTTCCAAAGCAGATGATATGAATATTCATTAAAAACAAGAGAGAAAAATTAATGCCCTGAGTAATCTGCCCCTGGATTACCTGAGTGACAGAGGGCAGTCTGGCCTCTAGTTTGGCCCCCATTCTTCCTTTGTAGATATGACCATCAGCTCCCTGTACATCTACCTCCTCCCTGAAATATCCAACAGCTGTCATTAAAAAGCAATCTCAGTTTTCACATACATTACAAAACATAATGCACTGTTTGATTCTCCTCACGGAGGAAATCTGACTTGAAGCATATATAGCACTTACTTGTAGATGGGGAAAACATTGCCATCTTCTTCCCTGAATAGATGACTGAAATAATAATAATAAACTATTAAGGCACATTTTGTCAGCATTAAGGTCATTAACTCTGCCAGCAAAGTCAGGGATTCTGTTTTCATGCACAAATATTTTTTGTTGGTCTTTCTGTCTATCTGTCAAAAAAGTCAGAAAATTTTCAAAGAATTTTTAGAATATGGTGTATCTAGAGAAAAGGAAAATAACTAACTTTGATTTGTAAGGTAAAAATATGTGGTTGCAAAATTTCACAGTTTGGTTTTTTTTTATCAGTGTGGTCAACACTTATAACTCATATAGGACTGGTATTTTTGACATTAAACAGTGTTTTTCCTTCAGTGTGATATCTGGATGTCTTTGTTCTTATGGCTCAATCTCTCTATTCAATGGTTTGCCATACAGGTTTAATCCTTGTATTGAAATTAGTTTATTTTTCATTTTTTCATTGTTAAATACATGCAAAAAAATTTAAAGATTTGGGGGGGGGGGGGGGCAGGGACATTAATCAACTCTTAAAATCTGAATCCATAGCCTATGGAACTATGTAATGAGCTAAGGTAATTTCTGAATATCAGTACATCTACTCTATATGAACTGTACGTATCAGGGCCTTCCAGTAGTAAGAGAAGTCAAAAATAATTATTCAACATCACCACTGCTGTACACATTCTAAAATCAAGAACTGGCTACTTATTGCAACTGTTATTTATAAGTATGCAAAGTATGTAAAAGCATACAACATAAATAACTTAAACTGTTGTCTGTTTTCTCTGTGCACTCGCAGAGCTGTCTCAAACTGTGGCAGCCACTGTTTACGATATTTTATGTATCTCTTAAAAAATATGATATATCACAATTACGGCTGCTTACACATTAAGGAGATTTATAAACCATTTGCATAGACATATATAGTTTCTATAAGTAGATTATATAATAATGAAGATGAGTTACCTGGGGTTTTATAATTACCTGAGATGAGAGAGGCGCGTGATCCTCTTGTTGGGGAACGTGGTGGTGTGGCTTCCTCCACATGCTCTCGTGGTGGCGTAATAGTCAGTCACTTCACCACTGTTTCCAGCGAAACTGTGCAAGAAGAACAAATTGCATTATTTTTCTCATCTTCCATTTTTCTAGTTGTGTATATGTATTAAAAAAAAAAGATAATATAGACCTGATTGATTTTTTTTCATTCCTAATTATACTTTATAATATGTTTCTTAGAATCTTAAAGACCAATGCATTCTTCTGTAATGCATGTAGCTAGTAAATCAAAATAATCTCAACTACAAATATTTGTTGCCCTCAGATAAAAAATATAGTGCATTATGCTATATTCTTTAATTCATTAAGCCTTTATGTATACAAATCTAAAACACCTTTACACAAGACATTCAGACTACCGTTACCTATATTTACATTTATTTTAAGGACATATTTTATAATAAATGCTATTGGAATTGGCTGAAGATGTGTGAAACATGCAGTTGTTGACTACAGTACAATGTATACATGTATGCCCGTAATACATTTCAATTAAGCTGTGACGTGTAAAATCATGCTCAAATGTGCAAAAATTCAAAATAATTTGGTGAACATGCAAAAATAAACTTCTGTGCAAATTCTAGATACAAATCAATGTCTGAATGTGACAATGAAGACTTTATTCCCCATGTTTATCAAAGAGCAGAACTAGTCCCATATAAAGGAAATCTATATAGCAGGATTTAAATATTTTCCAACACTGTATCTAATTCATGGTGCCATAAGTAAATACGAGGAATGACATAATCCATTGATCTGTTTGATTTAATATATATGATTCTGTCGATTTGTGAAACTCCCAACTGATCTTGGATTACTGAAAGCTTAGCATTGTCACTGGGTGGAAACTTCCAATGATTGAAGGACATAAGTCTAGATATGTGACCACTTCACATTAGAAGCTAGGTCGATGAATAGACACATTGAGTAAAATGAAACAAGATATATAAACTGATCTTGAAAACCTTTTTTTTTCCAAATTGTACTTGCATCATTATGGTTACACCTTGATATACCAAAGGAAAATTCTCTTAGAGATCATCAATGATAAATTATTAAAGATATAATGTTACATTCAAACAATAAGAAAATAATAAAATACATTTAAAAATAAGAAGAGCACCAGCCAACAATTAAAAGAGATATATATTTTTCAGAATCAATGAAAAAATTAATTCAAGTAAAAATAAAACTATAGATGAAATTTTCATGCATATATTTCCAAACACCAATAAAATGTTCGGAACTGATGGTGGACTTACGCAGCTCGAGCTGCTTCCTCTCTCTGTTCTCGATATGCCTCAAGGTCTCGACCAAAGTGAACAAGAAACGCTTTCAAATCGGCCTTGCGCATGCGAGCCAACTGTTTTTCAGCTAATGCTCGCTCAAAATTGATGTTGTTTCTGGGTCCCCTTTGTTAGTGATGAAGGAAAAAGTTAGAGAGTGAAGAATTAGAAGAAATGATAAGTGCATGGTATCTAAACAATCAATGAAAATGGAACCTTTTCTCTTATCAACCGAACTGTACTTAGAAATGCAATTGAAATAACTTGATTTAGTAAAACTGTCTTTCAAAAATCTTGTTTTGATCTGTTTTGCTCAGCTTTAATTAAAAAATCCCAAACTCATAAAGTTACGAAGTAAAATGAATATATCTTATAACAATATACTGTTGTTCAGAGTAACTATAGTGTATATACTTAAACAGATTGAACATTAACATGCCTTATCTTTGCAGTTTGGTAAGAGAAAAGGTTGAAGATATGAAAAAAAATGCTTGCATTCATTCCTTGAGTGAATTAATTATTTACTTCAGCCACATGCATGCTTTTAATGTTTTTTCTGTTAATTGTCACACTCAAATATTTTTGTTTCAAATCACGTATTTTCACCTTAACATGAAAATTACTTCTCCAAAATATACTTGTTTTGAAAAGCCCTATTAAAAGTCTCCATGGGATATAATTAAAATTTATTGAGCAGACTCAATGAAATAATAGAACATTGAACTTATTGCCTTTTTACAAATTCTAACAGCCTGCTGACACTGAAACTGTTCCAGTCCAGTGCACCCTACTTTCAGAACAATGTCAATATTGAAAAAAGAAATATCACAGTAAAATTACTGCATGGGTATATTTCAATTAGCAAGCGGGGTAGAGAAAATGAAAGGGATGAAAAGACAGGAAAGGTTACAATAGAGGCACACAGGGAGGGAGGGGGGCACAACAAACGTTTGGTGACGTTAGTTGCAGGCTGGTCTAAAATAAAAACGTAATTACCGAACGCTTGGCTTGTCTATTCCCACATACATTCTGTTTTCAAAATATTACATTCTGTTTAACATTTCAATCTCTTTTACGAAGTCATCACAAAGAACTGGAGATATTTTTTTCCCCATTTAATTAAGCTCTGAAGCAAAACTTACAAAAAAATCTATATATAAAAAGCTACATTTCTTAATTTACTCAATTTTATTTTTAAATCTCTAGTGCATGAAATTATTGAAAAAAAAATTATACTTATTCCTTTAAACTATAATTTTTACAAATAAGTTACAAATTATTTGATCATAAAAAGCTAAAAACCAAAAAAAAAATCTAAAACAAAAATGCTAAATTTTACTCAAATGATACTTAATGAACAACATACTACCACAAGAATTGATATGCTAATATTAAAAGATCTAATTTTATCTAGATATTGCAGAAGACATTTGTTTAAAACACAAAGCAAAGCTTTTGGTTAATTTGTCCACAGGAATGCTTTTTTCCAAAACCTGCTTGACATTTAAATTACTGCATTTATTGAAAACAATAAATACCTCTTTGCGTGTTGTCTTATCTGGTCCAGCTCGAAAGTGGTGTAGGGGCGTGGTGACCTTGTAGGTGGCAGGCCATTGGTGGTGGGGAGGGAAGGCACAGGACTGTAAATATAAAAGACAGAAAAAGCTAGGTTAAATAATATCTATGATTGAGTTTTGTTGAATTGGCAATGCATTTCTACATCCAGAATCATAATTCTATTCAAAACTTCAATAAAAGATAAAAGCATTTGCCAACTTTGCTTTTTCCAAAGGGAACTTGTGAGTTGCATGTACACTAGCTCTTTCAAGTTTTGCAATCTTTTTTGTTTTTTTTCTTTCCAGATCAAAATTGTGGTGTTAATTAATGCCTGATTGACCAATTCTATAATTTTAAATGTTCTCTACTAGCTGATTAACCAAATAAGCTACATTATGATATACATATATCAACTAGCTTGTAGACTTGCATATCCTCAAATATTTTAAGGATAAGGAAAACAAAAACTTGAAAAAAAAAAACTTGCTACTGTTGTCAATCTCCTCTTCTGTCTAATTAACTATACTTAAAATACACACAGCACCAACTACACATAAATACTGAAATCTATTGTACTGACAACCCATTCCTTGTCTATCAACATTTTACCTGCTTTCTGATAGTCTTATGGTTGGGAATTTTACATTTTCTTCCTCAGTATTGCTAAAATTATTTATGATTATTAATGCCAATTCACATCATTTCTAACACTAAATGACATGTAACAGATACACATATTACACAATGAAATTTCCACTGCATTTCATTTCCAGAATTTACAGTAGAGCACTCGTTCCATGATCGGAAGGTTGTGGGTTCAAGCCCCAGCTGTGACAAACCTAAGTCGATAAAAAATAGGTAGCAATTGCTTCTCTGCCAAGTGTACAGCACCCCTTCTTGGTGGATGTTAAAGCAGGATTTTGATCTCCTAAGTATAATCACGGAACCATCTTTATCTATGATTTAATCATTAATTATTTGTAGTATTTTCCCCCTGCTCTATGTACATAAGTAATGTCTCCAATCTTTAAAACATTTTTCTAATGAATTCCCTCATTGATGATAGCAATATTCCCTCTATTAGCTTCTGTGTGTTTTGTTAGTCCTATTTTAACCTACCAGTATATCTGATCTCATATAAGAGAATATATTGAAAAGTGAAGGTTTACCAACATATACATGTACCCAAGGTTGAAATCCACATTAGGTTTTAAAGACCCAGCAAATCTTGTTATTTGAATATCATCAAGTAATTTTTTTAAAAAAAGATTTTAGTACAGAAAGTTTCCACTTCAATTTTGCCAGAAAAGTACTTCTTAATAAAAAAAATATGAAAAGTATAAAATGCCAGAAAAGAAAAGTTACTGTAGTTGATTTACAAAAATCATGGAAATGAAATGCAGACATAATTTCCATGAGGCCTTTCTTTGATTTATGCAATCATATTAATCAAGGAAAATGCATAAAATTGTTTAAAAAAAATTGCAACTTACTAAAATTAGCAAATTATATGAATTATTCACCAGTAAAGTTATCAAAGTTTTAAAAGACATAAAACGAAATATCTTTATTGATTGTAAAAAAATCAATTGGTAGTGTAGAAATCATGGCAACTTTTTAACAAACAAGGACCATTATCATTTTACTTAGATGTTTCACAACGTTCCAGACTATATATATATATATTTATTACTCATTAAGGAAGTACATAAATTAATTTGAAAGGACAAATTTCATTTTACATGACTTTGTGACTGTTAGATAAAAAGGGAGTTCCTAATTGGACAAAAAGCCTTGTGCACAAAAATTGATAAGTTATTAATTGCTACGTTTTAACTTTGATAATTGGGCATTCAATCACATTATTGGGAAATAAATTAATCAAAATGGGATTGGACTTTTATAACTTGCTCTGAAGGGTAAATATTTTACATCCTGTACTAGTGGAAATTTTGCTATGAAATGATCTTTAAAAACTTAACAAATTTGAATTTATGAAGCTCTAACATTGTGGACAACTGCCTGGGTATTAGCAATTCTCAAAGAATGTTCCTGGGTCAATTGAATCATAAAAATAAATTTCTAACATAGATGTCTGACCACTTCTTCTTACCCTGATATGCATGTACAAATCATTCTACTTAATTAACCTTTAAAATTAATGAATGTTGTATGTTATCTTTTTTCCACATTCTACTCTATATATAGAAATTTAATTGAGTTAGTTTGAACAAATTCAGAGAGACATGCTGATCTAATAAAACTGATTATTTAGCAGTGACTGGATGTAAATTATCCACATTTTATTTCAATATACACCAACCAAAAAATCTTCTCAGGATATCAAATAATTAATCTTAAAATCCCTAATGGAAAAAAATTTAAATTTTGATGACACTAGATATAAAATTGTATAGAAAAGTTTAAGGCTGATAAAGATGTAAATAGAAAAGAAAGGACTGTCGATATTTTCCTGTACCTGCACAGGTGTCTATCATAAAAATTGACCTACATGTTCAATTACTTAATTGGCATGCTTTGTTGAATTAAAACAGGGATGTTAAAGACATTAAATACTAACCCTGTTGGCACCAGATCTACGGGACGATCGCAGCTAATGCAGTGGAATCGCTGAATCAACTGCCTGAAATGACAAGAAAAACAGTTTAAAGATTTTTGTGGATTTTAAATTCACAGAGGCCATGAAAATGTCATCAAAAATTGACACTATCCCAGCATATAAAAGAAAAGTCAAAATATGGAGTACAAGAAATTTAAATGAAATATTACATTGCAGATATTTATTAACTGCAGTTAAAAAATTTTAAAAGCATGACAATACATATAAGTTTTGATTCCATTTCCACCAATTTTAAATTTGCAACTCAAAAAGTTATTCTTAAATCAGTATTTGAGAGACTGTTTAATGTATATATATATCCACGAGAGAGCAGCAGAAAAGAGACAGAATTTAAACACTTGCAATGTACACTATACTATTAGCATATAAAATATCATGTAAACACTCCCTTTATTGTCAAATATGCAATGTCAATATTGTCTTTATTACTAGAATGGCTGCTTTCTAAAGGGGGTTGTTAAGAGTTCATATCAAGAATTTATTTATGACATTACCAAGTACATTCTGTGATGTAATTTCTGTGATATTTATAAAATTTTATTACTTTATGATATATATGTCAAAGCAAACATTTACAGTAAAGAAACATTACAAAAATAGACCAATATAAGTCGAGACCTATGAACTGTTTACTTGATAAGAAAAGACAATGACACTCCTTCCATACATTTTGAACCCAATAAATATTTTCAGTGTTGCCATGAATATTGAATAAAATAGCTAAGCTTTAAGATATATACAATATGCCGACTGCGTACTTTCTTATGCCTGCTGCATCATCCTCGGTCCATTCCACTTGTGCCTGCTGCCGACGTAGCTTGTCATTAAGGGCCTTCAGCCTACTCTCCAGCCATTCTTTCAGGGGATCTAACTCTAGTCTATCAAGTTTGCCATCAATGTCATCTGCAAACTTCTTAATGGTGCTATTCCAAGATTCTTCCTAAAAAAAGAGATAATTCAAGGTTAAATTGATCCTTTATGGCACAGGGTTCAGTACCCTTTCAATAGGGAATTTTAAATTGAAAAACAGGCCAAATGGGAAAATTTTAATCACATATAGTACATGTATTATGTTTTACTGTACATAAAGACAGTTAGATTGTAGGCAAATCCTCTATTCACACTCTTACGAACTATTACAATCTGAGAATTTAGAGTTATGATAAAAAAAGAAGCACTGAACTATCCAATCTACATGTCATTTGGGAAATTCTACCTAAAATTTGGAAAAAAGGAGTAAATTTTCAATTTGGACTGGGTTCTTTTACCAGACCTACATATGCAATGCAATATGCAATAAGAAAAATATCACCTTTCCTTAAATTTCTCTCTACAGCATCATGTCATCTGCCACAGCAGCTAGAGTTTTTATTATTTTGTACTATTGTGGAAAGTACATATCTCCCTTAAAACCAAATTTTTTATTTCACTTTCTGAAAATATATTCTCAAAGCATTCTTTGGTCCACAAAACTATGCACTATATAAACACAACTTATTATCAAATCATAGACATCTACTCTTCCATAATATTTTCCCAGTAATTTTTAATTCACTCACATTTAACCTGCCCGTGATAACAATTTTGATAATTTATAGGAAAACATTGATCAAAAATATTTCATATCCATGGCTCTTTAGGTATATTGTGCTTTAATTTATCTGTTAGCTGTAGATGTAAATCACATCCGGGACTTGACATATGATTTCATTTTCTTTAATTGTGTTGAGCATTCTGATATTATCATTGATACTTTAACAACACGATACCAAATAATTGTAAAGCTCTGCTCCAATCACCATATCAAATGATGTGATTTGCCCAATATCATCAATGGCGTAAATTGCCCCATAAGTACGTAAGTAAATGTAATTTGCTACAGCATGCACTTACATGACCTGCCAACTTGTCAAGGATATCTTTAATCATCTTGTTGATTTCGTTGGTGGTGGAATCAAACAGACTATGGTTGACTTTGTTATCCAATGACCTCTTGTCAGCTTTCTACAGTACAATCAAAATATGTGTATTTCATTATGATCAAACTATTTGTGAACATTCCTAATAGAAAGAAAAAAGACAAAATCCCTTATGCATGTTATGTAGCTGTCTTAAAGTTTTACAGGAGTCTAAATGACTTTGATTTTATGATCATTAATAATTTAACAAAGCCAAGATATTCTTGGAGGTTAAGGACTATGAATCACACATCTGCCTATTGACTTTGCAGCTTATGAAATATGAAAGTAAAATTTGGAGTAAGTCGAGCAAAATAATATAATTTTTGTGATATTCCTCTGGATAAAAAAAAGTCTGTTTATATAAAAATGGGTCAATTATTTGTCCTTTTGGGAAATTGAAATTTTCCCAATAATTTGTAATTCTAATAACTACTGATCAAATGTTTTAATGATAACAGTTTTAAAATGATTTCAACTCCCTAATTCTGTTGACCTCAATGACCTCTGACCCAAAGAGTATATACTTACAACATCGACCTCCATCTGTACATATTCCTTGTCTGCCTTAGTTTCCTGTAGTTTTTCACAGTGCTGGAAGAGACTCTGAACAAAAATTAAATAAATATTTATAAAGTGTGTGTATATAGGCATCTATATATTGATTTAATACTTTTATTTTTTTTATAGAATTAAAATACAGTAAAACAAGGTTACATAGCAATCTCTATAATAGGACTAATTCACTATATTGTAATTCTCCCTATTATGGTGTATATTTTTTTTTTATTATTAATAGGTACTATATGACTTTGCTCTTAGGAATTCCCTGCTAGGTCAGTGACTGTCACAAAATGATGTTTGCTGTTAATTCACATAATTAACAAATAATGAAGAGATCAAGCATTCATAAAGAGAATTCATTTCCTATTAAACTTGGTGCCAACATTGTGGGACATTAATTAAATCCTTTAGTTGTGAGTATTTTTCAAGGACTGGATAGTGACCTTTCAAAAGAAGTATATTTTTCTTAAACACATAAATTGCATACTGTATTATTGATCCTAGAAAATATATGAAATGTTCTGATAACATATAATAAGTAATATGTAATGGGATTTACAGATTAAGGTTTACTTGTTATTCATAACTATCCAATTGGAATAATTGCTATGGTATAAAAATAGACTCTGGGCTGTTTGAGGTTTGAGGATTGATTTCATACAAGCTTAATACACAATAAAATTTTAAAGTACAGTTCTGATTTTGTCCGGATGACTGTCCAAATCAACTAATATTACCTTTTTTCTTTATTGAATATTTGGGTGTGAATTTTAACCGATTTCAACAAAGTGGAATTTTGATTGTCTACGTAAATATAAGCTAGGGTCTAATGGGAAAATATACGCAATGTCTGGAGTGGGTGAGGTAACTACATATACAACTGAAAATCTCTCCACTTAAGTCCAGGTCTGGCTAAATATCCATAGTGTCAATAACAGTCACTTTCTGGGCCATTTAAATGTGTGGGCAGAAATATTTCACATACAGATCCATTAATCATGTACAAGCCAAAGTCAACCTAACAATTACCTTTAATTGAAAATCTAAATTACTCCATTTAAAAATTTTAATGGCTTACTGCTTATCTTGTAACTGTTCAAAACTCTCCATCTACCGTTATTTTTGGGGTTTGGTTCAAAATAAAGCTATTGAATATTGAGCGGGCAAAAATTCATAAACATGATCCGGGTGGAGTATATCTTAAAATGTGAACAACATGCTTTAACATTAGTAAAGAGGCATTATGTTGCCGGATTCAGTCATCAACATGGTATGCAGTCACTCTCTTTGCCAAGAATGTTATGCCATTGCCTCTATTTAAGACACTTCTGTGATCAATGCCTGCTACTTAATAACTACAACCCAGGTACTTTTTTTTCTTCAAAAGTTATATTAGCGTACAGACCTTTATGTGAAAGTAGATAATCAGTTCTGCTTTATAATAATCGTGAACTGATCAGCACCTGTGAATTCCTACCTAGTATAACCGATTGAGTGACCGTTCAATAGCTGTCACAAGATTTTATTGCCCTATTGATATAGCTTTTCAAATATGGTGAGAGCATTAATATACATTGCAAATTTTTTTTTGTGCCACGGGTTACAGTTCAGTTCTTTTGAAATGGCATCCTTTCAACCCGATCAATTTTACCAAATTGTTCCATTTAAGCAGACGACATAAAATATCAATGAAAATATTAAATAACAAAAATAAAATTAAGACAGAAATTTCATGCAGACTTGTCATAAAACTAGTTTAAAAAATGTTAGATTCTTGTCATCTTAATTACAAACAATATTTCAATGGCTTTTGAGTAGTAGTACAATCATCTTCGTATACCCACAGGTGATCTCGTCTTTAACTCATCACCCTGATAAATCTTACTGATAGAAAGAAATTGAACCACAAAAATCTTATAGTTTGCTACATAGCTGTTTGCATCACTGATCAGTATACAACATGTACAATAACACATGCTTAATACTCAGTAAACCTTTAAAGGTGTATAGCTAAGCAAAAATTCTATGTTGCTATGTAGCAAATTATACTGACAATAATTTTATAAGGACTGGGATACTAACAAAATTACTTTACTTAAATTGTTACCGGTAATTACCCTCTTAATTATTTATCAATCAATTAAGATAGTCTGTTATAACCATTGGTTTGCTGTTGTCATACTAAGCAAAGTCTACTGTTCATATCTTCATTATAACCAAGCCTCACTGTAGCATTGATGGTAAGCTAAAACTCACAGATTTACAACAGTACAGTAAAAATACACTTCTAGCAAAGTGCCAGGGTTGACAAATTTTGATTCGCTATGAATATAATTGATTATATCCATTAAGTTCATGATTTTTTAAAATCAAAGGGAATGAAAATCACTTTGCTATAAGCATGAATTCATTATAAGCATGTTTTGCTGTAACCGTGTTTTACTGTAAATATCTTTCAAATGAGGGTTTGCCGCAATGATCTACTTTTTTGTTACATTCCTACCTCTATCTGCTGAGTTCTGTTGTTATTTTCTTCAATAATATCCTTGGTGGTGCTGTGTAGCTTTTCCACCTCAGCTTGTAGCTGCAAAATAGCCTGCTGAGCCCTGCTGAGGGCATCGCTGTCCTATGGACACAAACACAAGCAAATTAACTGACAAAATTATTGAATGTTTATTTGTATCATTTTCATAAAATCTTTACATTATTTTATACATCTATCAATAAAAATCTGAATGTTATTACTTCAATTTTTTTTTAAATTTATAACTTGCAGAGTCTTAAGAAAATAAATTACTATTACATGTTTGAACATTTGATGTAAAGATCGATTGATGTTCAATCATTTATTCCGCTTAAAAAAAAGAAGAAAGAAAATCAAATGTCTCATTTTCAATGAAAAAAAGTAACAATGTTACTGAATTTGAATTATTAATTTTTGTGTCAATGTTGTTTAGACTTGCTGGGCAACAGAGTGCATGCACACAAAGATTGATTAATGTGAAACACTTGGGTGATGATAGAATGCTTAAGTAAAAATCAAAAATTGTTAATTCATGTTAGTGGTTATTTAGTCAGCTAGAACAAACTAACACTGTGTCAAGCTCATGGTGCAAAGCCACATTCAAAGTGATAAAAAAAGCAAAGAAAAACAGGTATCCGCAATCACTCACACCAAAGAATATGTGCGTTATTAAAAGTAAACAAAGAGTTGTATTTATACAGGGTTGGCCCTAGCAAAGACATTGTATATGCTTGGTAAACACCGCCTACAAAAACTGGCTTTTTATCTTTGCTGTTTCATGGATTTGTACTGAAAGCAACAACATTGTCATACATATATAATGCAATTAAATTCCCGTGTCTAATGCACCTCTCTTGGCAACATAAATGGAAGAACGTTACAAAGGGAAGAAAATAGAATACAAATGAACTTTTAAAAAGTTTGTTATATCGATTTTCCCCAAACTTCAAATGATATTTAATAAGCACCTCTTTTTCACCATCCTTGAAAAGTAAAGGGAATTTTAAATTGTAATCATTCAAATGTTCAGGAAATGAATTAAAACATACAAATAAAGAAATATTGATTGGAACTAGATATATACTGTAACGAAGGAGGAGTAACAATCGTGCCAATGGAAACATGATCTCATGCAAAATTCATGCGTAATCTTAACTTAAATCTACTGTCTGTTGAAAATCGTTTGCCACATACAGTGTTGTGAAACAGAAGTAAACTGCTAACTTGATTTCAAAACCTTACACTGCTATCAAATTCTGGCAAGCTGATACTAGAGGTATTCTGCGATTCTGATTGTATGACAACAGCCGATTTTGACTTTGTGGCAACCGTAGGTATTTCACACATTTTGCCAACAAATCCATCTGATTTTGACTCGATGACTGACATGCGAGTATTATAAACTATTCTCTCTTGCTCATCCAAATGGCTCTTTGTGTGGCCCTTAAAACAATTATACAAACTCTGCATTAATTCAAAATAAAAATTTAGTTCTAAGAAAGAAAAGTGTACTAACCAATTCATTCATGCCCGCTACTTTAGCTCTCATGAGAGCAAATTCTACTCCTTTAGCCATTCTCTTTAATTCATGATCCAAGGAGAAAATCTTATCCCTGACCAAGACTAGCTGATCATTCAGAACAAAAGCTAAATTTTTCAGTTTATTATTGGCCAGTTGTAACTCAGCACTGGAAAATGGTCGGTCTGGGGTTTCCTGGACTGCAACAATCTCTGTGTATTCTTCCTCAAAGATGGCCATGATCTCTTGTTCAAACTCACAGTTCCTCTCCTTGCTTTCTTCAGACCGTTCCTTCTTGGAGGGTGACCCCGGCTTCTGCTCCTCCCCAGAGTCTGTCTTAGCCTTCTCTTTCTCAGCACTTTTTCCTCGCTTTCCTTCAGCACTGGTGCCAGCCTTTTTTGCTGAGTCATCAGTCTTGCTTGCTTTGGCATCTGCTTTACTAAATTTAGTCTCAACCTTACTGTCTTTCTGATCTGACTTGGACTCACTGCTAATATTCTGGGCACTGTCTGATGATCCATATAAATCGGCTAAAGGATCTGGGCGATTTTTCTGCTGTTCTAACCAGTTAGTAAGATCAGACACTTGGCTCTGATAGGCACTATCATCCATCACCATATCTTGGAACATCTTGAGTTTGTCCTCGAGATTGGAAACTTTTTGAGTCAAGACATCTATGGCAATGTCTTGTAGTTCATGTGCATGTAGTTTTGTGAAGGAAACATCAGACATTCTTTTTCCATGATAAGAAATTGATTTCTTTATATTCAACAGCAGAAAGAGGTAGAAGATGACAAAGAGAAAAGACAGAAATGTAAGATAGGTTAGAGAAAGAATGACAACAATTAGCAACTTACAGTGGAGCCTCATTAAATCCGAATGCTTCATCTTCTGGTCAAATTTTTTGGGGTCAGGAACAGAATTTATATTTGTATTATCCATTATAAAAAGGATGTTTTGCTAATCCAGACCCTTCATTAACCTGGACAATTACCATGGGAACAAGAGCATCCAGATAAATGAGGCTCAACTGTATAGACAATGCTACATAATATTGGTAACATTAGTATTGCTACATCTACAAAACAAATTTAACTGGTAACATTATAAAGGTAGCAATACATGTATCAGCTGGCTCAAATTATTGCAATTCTACTATGAAATAATTCTGATGGCAATAATAAATAAATATGCAATTAAAAGGCTTAAAAGGTAACCAGAGGTGACCAGCCATATGAAAGACACCTGCTGGACAATATATGCACAGCCATGATTAAAGCCAGCCAGTTAATGATTGTAGGTGAATGGTCTAGCATGTAAGCGTATTATTAAAAATTTCTGCACTATCACAAGCACACAGTTGGGTTAATTTCACTCTACTTAGTAAAGAGGATTACAAATTGATTATATGGAAGGTCGACACCAAAGAATTAAATACCTTTTCTCTGGCCTGGGCAAGGGCATCTAAGTCTTCCTTCAGTTTAGATAGCTGTTCCAATAGGTCTCCAGATAGATCTAAAATCAGTCATTGTTTGTAAAATATTAACTTTTAAAAAAAAAGATCATAAACTAATACTGAAAGTAATCTTATCAAAATATTGGTATGCCAGTTTAATTAAAATATTGGTATGCAAGTTTAATTAAACAGTTTTCTAAATTGTGTTGCAAAAATTTTGAGTTTAGGTCGCTTTCCTTCTCAAATGTACTACTGGTAATTAGTTCTTGAAAATCTAGTTTTCATATCGCTTGCACAATTTCAAAGTGTCTTACTTAGGTTTTCCAATGCATCTTTGTCAAGCTTGTTCTTAATTTCAGCCTTAAAAAAAAAAGGACACGTAAAATAGCTATAAATATACTTCAAAATTCAAACAATATGGTATGCATTCTTAATTTTCACAATGATTTTAAACTTGATTCTCACCTCGAGAGCTTCTACCCTTTTCGTGAGAGCATCGTGACTCTCGCTCAATTTTCCTAGTTTTTCCAAGACGTCCAGCACTTCCGCTGACGGACCAGAACTAGCGGTGCTGACACGAGACAGGGGTCGGGAGGAAACAGGTCGGGAGGGCTTTAAAATTCAATTAAATTTAAAATCAAAATGACTCATTTATATTGAACAGATGCAATACAATGTAACAGACTAAAGACTAAGGCTACATGTATATATCAACATAATGGAAATTTTATTTCAAAACAAATTATATACGTAAGGGCCGGATTAAAAAACAAAATGACAAGGTGATTTTATAAATGTTAGTGGTTTTCTTTTTGTCACATATTAAATTTCTATGTCAAACATTTCAGTTTTCATAAAAGATAACTAAAAAGAGGTTCATTTAAATTTTTAATTAAAATTTGTGATTATTTATAACAGAGGAATTTTTTAATTAAAGACATGTTTTTACACCTGTTGAGATTAACAACTTTCATATCGTTCATATCATAAGAGGTCCATATTAATCTTTTAATTAAATGAACAGCTGCAAGCTTTTATGTGAAAAAAAAGAGCAATGGCCGAACATCAGTACAGGTGAATTGACGGGAAATATATATTAAAGTCATGCATCATAATAGGGTACCTGCATTGTCTGCAATATATTTCATCTTGTAGCACAAGGAAATATGGTCAAGGTACACTTCAGTGTTTTATTATATGTCTCATATCTGAGTGACATTTTCAGAGCATTTACAAAGTTAAAGTGGATAGATACACAATAGTTGCACATGTATAATGATACAGCATACTAAAAGAAAAATGCCATATAAAGAATATGCTCTTTTGTGGAATTTGTAGAGTTATATACATTACCCATATGATGAATAGTATGTTTAATACAAACCCTGTGTCTATGCTAAGAAGAAATTGTGGAAAATGAAACAAATAATTTTTTTTAAAATGTGACTTAAGTTTAAAAGTATTTGCACAAGTTAATTTTTTTTAACTGAAATGCAAAGTCATCAGATCCATGTGTTCTACATTTCTGAAACATTAAACAGACAAATAATTGTATCTGATTAATTAAATGAAAGATTTACTTAACACTGCATAACAAACAATTGGACATGTAAACAAATATTACATATTACTAGCTTGCAAGCAATCAATGACATGAATAAAAAATTAGGTTAAGTTAAACATAAAAACAACAATAACAGGATGTATTTGTGAATCGAAACACTGTATTCTCTTTAGAGAAGTGGACAGGCTTTTGCCTACATCCACATGTGGATGTAGGCAAAAGCCTGTCCACTTCTCTAAAGAGAATAGAAACACTGATGCCCCCATATAGCAGCTCATGGCCAATGTTAAAGTTTTCTAGAAGTAGGTCAAACTCCAAGGTCAAGGTTATGAGTTAAAAAAATGTTGGTACTCAAAGAAAGGTCTTGTCAGAAGGCATACACAGTGAAGTATGAAAGCCCTAGTACCAACCATTCAGAAATTATGACCAATGTTAAAATTTTTCAAGAGTATGTCAAACTCAGAGGTCATGAGGTCAAAAACATAGGTGCCAAAAGAAAGGTCTTGTCACAAGGAATTCACAAGTAAAATATGAAAGCCCTAGCACCAACCAATTAGGTCCTGGCCAAGGTTAAAGTTTTTTCAAAGTAGATGAAACTCCAAGGTCAAGGTCAGGAGGTCAAAAATGTTGGTATCCACAGAAAGGTCTTGTCACAAGAAATACACAATTGAAATATAAAAGTCCTGGCATCCATCATTAAATAGTTATGGCAAAGGTTAACGTTTTTCAATAGTAGGTCCAACTCCTAGGTCAAGGTCAGGAGGTCAAAAAGTTAGTGCCAAAGGAAAGATTTTGTCACACAAGTAATACATATGTGAAAAATGAAAGTCCTAGTACCAACTGTTCAAAACTTACAGCCAAGCTTAACGTTCATTAAAGTTTTTCAAAAGTAGGTCAAACTTCAAGGTCGTGAGGTCAAAACTGTTGGTACCAAAAGAAAGACTTTGTCACAAGTAAAAGACACATAAAATATGTTAGCCCTGGCATCAACTGCTCAAAAGTTTAATAGCCAAGGTTAAAGTTTATGCAGACAAACAGACAGAGGGACGGGTCACAAACTATATGCACTGGAATTTACAAATATGGGGGCAAAAAAATTATATAATATGAATACCTATAAAAACTGCAGTGATTAGGAAAATGGGGGAGTATATTTTTAGGGTTATTTTACCATAAGTGGAAAAAAGGGTACTCATTCTTTTACCTTAACAGTGATTTTAAGTATTGTTAGAGGAAATTATGTTCCAACTGATTTTGTAAGTATCAAGAATTGTGTGGGAGAAGGGTTTAGGGGCCTCAGACTTCAAACTCATTAATATGTGCCCTTATACTTACTGGGCGAGACTGTGATTCTGGTTTCAAGAGAGAATCTGAGAACTAAAGTCCAAAAAGTAAAAATTATTTGCGAATTAATTTACAGATTACACATTTTCCTGATCAAAGCCTGTCTACCTTGACCTGTCTCTTGGTAGATGTTTTTCATAAAATGATAAGAATCAAACAATTAACAGTAAACGGTTGAGATTTGTGCCAAAAAGTTACCATAATTTAGTCAAAATTCAATTCTCAATATTTAAGTAATATACATTTTATTTTTCTCACTTAAAGCTGCACATGTACCCTGTAGGGATGCTAACAAGTAGCCTTAAAAATCTAGGAATGAAAATACACTCTAAAATAGTACATATCACATATAATGCAGGCAAGCAAACACATATTCCACTCCATAGCTTCATATATATAGATGTGGTCTAATAAGGTCAATAATTAATACAAATTTTCTTAGAAATATAGTCCAAGTTACAGATTTTCATGCAATCCGCTAAATGCAATAAAATATTAATTGCAAATGAATATGTGGCACTGTCAAACTCAAACACTACATTAAAAACTTTTAAATATGTTTTCTAGCACCAAGTGAATAATGTTTCACCATAAATGACACAGTAGAAAGCAAATTCATAAAATGTGCATGAGTTTCACTTATCAATATACATTCTCCCTTCTAGAGGATAGAATTGGACCATAACCAGTGGATTTTTATTGCCTGACACAAGTATCTGAATACCCAACATTACAGACGGACAATGCACTGCATAAAACAACACTAGACATTTAACATTAATTGACAAATTTGCTTAGCATTCACTTGCACAATTATACAAACCTTTAATCTATTCTTGAAAAAAAAAGAACAAAAAATAGTGATAATTTAATGAAAAAAAAACCATGAAAAAAGCTAAAGAATAACATCTGTGACATCATAGACAGAAGAATCTAACAGAGATACAGAAATAAATAGCCAAAAATAAATGAAATAACTGACAACATATAAACATCACACTATAACTATTCACAAACACCAGTATTTGCCTTAATTAGTACAATTGTATTTTAAACTGTATGCTTGATTGTTTTTAGAATTCTCCCCCCCCCCCCCCCCCAACTTTTGTCTTTTTTTTAAGGGGCAGGGTGCTTCATGATTTATAAAAGCAGTTAAAGCTGAAGGAAAATGAAATAAAAATCACACTGAAAGATATATGATGTTACAATGTACATAATGCATCTTCAAAGGAAGAACAAGAGTGTCTGGAATTTAACTGTCGTTGTGATAAATCAAATTTTCATGTCTCTGAATCTCAAGCATAACCTGGATACAATGTATATACTACATATATCACAAGTGTAAATTTGTATAAATTTTGCATTAATTCTAGCCAATATATATTCAAGAAAGATAGTCAAACTGAAAAGATTTGTATGATGCATATATATACATGCAAGCAAGTTCTATTGTACGTCAAACTTGATTTAATAGTTTTGCATGATAACTTTATGTACACTAAATACTTGAAAACACTTTAAGGATTATCTAAAACACTTAAGAGAAGAACAGAAGAAAAGATGCATTGTCCAAACAGGTAGAAAACTTTATCATAGCAATTCAACTACACGGAGAAGAAGACCCAGGGTAGCTAGCTTAGGGAACTCTTCTGATACTTGAGGTTGTCAAACACAGACACTGGACAAATATTTGACAGTGGTATAATCTTATCGGTATATTCTGCCACGACAAAGTCGAATGTGTATATTGATTGGAGCATTGATCTACATTCATTAGACCTGTAACGCGATACCATTATCTAACGAACCTTCCTGTTCCAAGTCTTAATACACAATGAATACTTAAATGACTGGAACATGATACACAGACACCATTGTCTACAATTTCAAAATTGTAAATCTAATCAGCATTAACACTTTGACAAGTATTGTGAATTGTGTGAATAGACTAAATTTAAGAAATTGGTAGTGAATTATTATCTATATTATTACCTACTTACAGTATCTGTATAAATATTAATTATTGTTTACCCAAATAGATCACTTTTTGTGCTTACTCTTGACCCAAAACCCATCATAAAATCCTTTCTCTCTTTCAGTGTTCAAATATTTATGGTAACCTCATTTTATAATCTGTTTAATGTCGTCTTCAGACTTCTCGCAACCAAAACAAAAAAAAAAAAAAAACTCTTGCTTACTACAATTTTATCTATCTGTCAATACTGGAAGAAGAAAAATCCAATACTTACAGGGTCTGTTTGGGACGATATCTCTACAACGACCCGTTCCTGAGGTTGCATGTTTTCCCAGTCTCTTTTGATTCCTAGAAGGGCGTCCTCTAAGGCAGGCCAGGTCACATACTGGGCCAACTCCTCAGGGGTGGGGAGCAGAGAAAATTTCTCATTCAATTCATCCTGCAAAAAGGTGATTATAAAGAAAGATAAATGAAAAGAAGATGACTGAAGCCAAAATATATTAAATCATAAAAGGCAAAAAAATTTAGCTGATATATAAAATTACATGTATGAAAAGTTTATGTAATGCATTTATTTCTACAGAAACTAAATATTCTTCACTTAATCACAGCAATGCACTCAAAGTTGTTATGGAGGTCTTTTATGACAATAAAAGCTAGAGAGATCAAAGCCAAGACAACATGGTAACCACTTCACATTTGTTTCTTTTTTGGAAAAGTTTAATTTACTCACTGTTTTCTTTTCTAAATCAGCCAATCTTTTCAAGAGGTCATCGATATTCAACTGAAACACATCAAAAAGATTTTAAAAATTCACCAATAAACGATACAAAGTAATTTACTATGATGCCATTGAATAAAAAGGTGGAGGGAAGATTAATGTACTGATCAATTCCAAGTGAATGCGACTTGAAATATCATTTATTTTTCAAAACTCTCTCTAATTTAATGTTCTTTTTTTTGAAATTGAATTTTCTGAATTATATTTACATAAGATACATAATACTGGCTAAAAGTTTAGGATTAACCTTACTGGCTTTTGTTTGTCGGAAACATTAGAGCCAGTTAGATGTGTACATGTACTTTTAAAAACTGGATTTAAATCTGTTTTTAAAGACTTTGATCTGTATTGTGGGTCAAATATCTTCTTGATCTTGAATAATTGAAAGTAAAATCGTGTGTCAATTCTACAATGGTCTTAGTTCTAACCTCTTTCTAGACATTTTTTTTTCAAAATGAAGATTATAAAGCTATATCGCCCATCTTATAAATGTACAGATATATGATTAAAAGAGCTTCAAAATTACATAAATGTAGAAAATATATATGACCTCTTCTTGAAAATTTAAAATTACTGAAAATTCTGCTAAAACTGTTATATGTGAATTAAAATACATGTACATACAACAACATATATTCAAATATACATCTACATGCATGTATCTGATTGCAGGAAATAATTAAATGCTAGACATTTTTCCCAGAAATAAAAATATAATGGATAAATTAAAAATTCTTGTCGAGTTGAAACCAAGTTTTGGCACACAGTAATGTATTAACATACAGATTCATCAATGATTCTAAATTCTTTCCATGTTTTAAAATGTGCCCATGCAAATGTCACTTGGTTTTCGAAACCCAATATCAGAAAAAAAATACACAAAATCTGCTTCCATAAATAGTCTTATGGTGAAACCTTTTGAACTAATTCTCTCAATATCTATCTATACTTGTTGAGAATCTGTCAAATGTACATGTAAATATATACCTAGCATTTACTACATTGATTTAATAGAGGTGTATATATTTCTATGAGAAATTATATTGAATTTTGAAATCAAATCCTTTGAATGGTTTTTATGACTATACAGTGTATGTGTGAGTTTATTTTTTAGCTTATTGTATGTTTGTTATGGAAAGGTAGGTACACACAAATGATAGGTGGACACTCAACAAAACAAAAAAAACTTGGAATATGGCCCTATAGACTTTGAGAGACTGTATGTCAAATTTGCTGCTACACTTATTACTTAATGTTCATAGTGCATATGAATTATCACTTTGAAATTACCAATTACATACACTTATTGTAAATTATATTATATAGTACCTATATTTAGAATATTACAATTATGTAAGAAGGTGTACTTTATCTTGCAAATACAATATGTGTCTACATTTGTAAATCTGGTCTCATTTACATGTTCTGTAAGTGTTCCTACACCTTTTCAGCTTACGGTAGAATTCAAAAGGTGTAACATATATATACACTGGTAGTCAGTATATAGATATACATGTACTTAATTTCATATAACCGGATTTTTAAAAAACCCAATATATACTACCTCTCAAAAATTCATGTTGATCATTTGTTAGCTTAGCAGTTACACATAGAAATTTCTGTAACATTGAGTGGGATTCGATAATTGTTCATATGCACAAGAAATCAGAATGATGAGAAATCTTAATGTAATTTAAACTGTATGGTTACTTATATTTTTATAATAGAAGATTTCATATATATTCCTGATACAGTTGAACTTTGGTATCTCGGACACCAATATCTTGAATACAATGGATATGTCGAAGTGATTTGGAAGTCCTAACCACTAACTCTTGAAGTATTTTACCCTCATTATCTCAAATACTCAGATATCTTGAAGTTTCTTCTCGGCCCCATCGAGTTTGAGATAATGAGGTTTAACTGTATAAGTTTAATGCTATAAAATATAACATATTTCTACACCTCTATTTTTACTTACCCCACTGATCTTGTCATTCAATCTTTTGTTTTCCTGCTCCAGTTTCTTTATGTTTTTCATTAATCCATCAACAAGGTTGTGTAACTGAAATTAAGGGGACAAAAACTTTTCTTTATACATGTATATATATAATATTACATACATTTAATAATCAACACATTCAATTTCAAAAAAAAGTTTGATTTTTGTGGTAGAAAAAAACATGTTTTTTTGTAAAATATTTCTTTGGGCAATCTTTAAAAATTATTTGTTTGCCCACTCCCGACCAACTGCCTAAAAACGGCCTGATCGACTCACAACTTATTTTGACCTTCAGAAAACAATTATTTTTCCATTCATTAATCTAACTATTTTAAATGAATATTTTTGCTCCTAGCTGACCTACCCAGTTATTTTATTCTGAGTCGAGAGAGGGCAAGCAAACATTTTTTTAAAAGATGGCCTTGTCACATTTCTTTTTCTTTTCTGTATGTTATTCACCAAGTGAGTACTGAGGGATTTAGAAATTGGAAAAAGGGTGCATGCTTACATGTATAAGATGTAAACCTTATTAAAAGTGTATATTTACTGTATCTTTAAAAATGCTAAATTTACATTAAATTTATATTTAAACAGGATTTTTTGTTTTTTGGCTTTAGTTTTCTCCCTTAATAACAACAAACATAATGTACTTGTTTTTCTGTATTAAAAAAAAAAATAATATTCAATAAGTGATAGCTGTATTAAGTCACAGGAGCGCTTGCGTTTTTGACAGCAACAATTAATCACAAGGATATTATCATTTATTAGGAGGAATGAGGTATTTTATAAATGAGCCAAATTGCTGACGCTGACTGGGGACTCATGGTTTTGTGGCCTAGCTTACCTCATCCAACCCATCTGAATTAGCATCCACTTTCTTCTGGATTTTAATATATTTCCAGACATCAGCTACTGGTGTATTTAAAGATGGATCCATATTACCCCTTTCAAATAACTCCTTGTAAGTTGGTAGTTCGTTTCCATACTTCTCCAACTGTTCCGACATTTTTGCAACTTTGACTTCCAAATGGTGATAAGGTGATTTATTCCGACTTTTAATTGATGTTGACTTTTCACTTAATGCATCCTCAGAATCTTCACCCCTACCACTATCTATATCACTCAAACTCGAAATCTGCCTCTGTTTTGAGGATGACAGGAAGTCGCGATCAAATTCATTTATTTCTGCTTGAACATCCAAAATGTTCAACTTTTTCAGCATAGCATGTAAAAGAGTGTGTAAAACATTAAAATTAACAGCACCAACTTCTGGAGTCCCGAGGGCCAGATCGACCATCTGTGCAAGCTTCACTTGAGTCGGCATTTTGGACTGAAGTAAAATTTCCGACTGACAATAACGAGAATAGAAGGCTTAACTAAAATATATTCAACTTTTCGCACTCCATGCCCATGATGTTCCTCTTGAAACACCACTGATATTCATGCGCCTTTCACTTCCGGTTTGTCTATTACAATACTTTCACTGAAAAGTGGACAGATCATTTATAAATATACATGAAAAGATGTAAATTTATCGTTCTGTAATGATTTTACATAATAATTTAGATTCATGTAGTTCCGTTTATCTGCAATTGTTGCACTATTGTTTCCGCGTAATATTTCGAACTAATTTGTAGTTAGGTTGTTCTTGACAACAAGAAGCGACAAAATACTTTTAAACCCTGTAACGAGCAACCGCAAAAGAGACGATGTCTTTCAAATCAATATAAAAAGTCGAGAAACTGTAATCAGTTCTATATCGTACAGAGACAAACCAATGAGTATATGCATTATATGCATAGGAAATTCTGATAAATAATTTTTGAGATAGAAATTCTATAGGTAATATTTCCATCTGTTCAAAACTCTCTCTCTCTATCTGTCTCTCTCTATTGATCGTTAGTACATGTACCACTGAAATTTCGGAATAATAACCTAATTTATACAAACTTTCATATGTGGGCCTATCTGACAGCTCTGATATTAATTAAGGGTTTAAAAATTCTAAACAAACTCAAAAAATTCTTTCAAGCTAGAAAGAGTTATGCCCCATGGATACATGTTGTACATGTAGCTCTACGCGGTTTTTCTATGGACGGTCTTTTTTTGTAAAACATAACAATTCTTCTGAAAGTCCATGTGATCATGTAAGATAAAAAAAATTCGTGCAGATCAATACAGAATTCAGATGAGATTTATCTCAATCAAAATGAATCCAACTACGGAACGCCAAATCAAAATAAATTTAACTCAAATAGCCTAACTGTTCTTTAAGATCTTCCAATAGCATTATTAGAAGATATCATCAATTCATTTCAACTGAAAATGTCTTCAAGTAATTGATAGTATCATCACTGCTGAATTATTGCGCGCATTTATTCAATCATTGATATCATTTAATGCTGAAATGATGCATCAAATAAATCAATGAATGATGATTTATTTGAGGAAATAATTGTTCAGATGCGCGTATCAATTCAATTATTGCTCTCGTCAACTCAATTCAAAGAAATCTTCGAATTCAGTTGAATGGAAGAGAAAATGAATCATTGATACCAAGATCTAATTAGTACTCCACTACATTCAGGCCCATAGGAAGCAATTTCAGTGGGGGAGGGGGGGGGGAGCACAGCCATACATTTTCAACAACCAAATATTCCTTGACAAGCCAAAAAAAAAAGTCATCAGAGGTTTTCATTGAGGGGACACAAGCATATAGTAGCTATGTTATATCTATAGTTATCTATATACCGGCAAAATTATTGGGTGCTCCCCCCCCCCCTCCGTTCCTACGGTCATGTCATTAAATTGCATTGATGCACGCATTATACTGTAAACGTATTACATTTGGTTGTGTATTCTATTAAGCGCCTTTCGCGGGAAGCAGCTTCCGCTAAATCAAGTACTTTGCTAATTGTGAAATGTCTTGTGTACACAACATATTCATATAAAGTACATTCAGAAAGCGCTAATTATAAATCAAATCTACTCTAACTTGTTGAAAAATCAGTTTCCGCTAAATATCGTACAAGTCAAATTAAATACATTTACAAAAGTAATAATTTTAATGAATTGAATTAATAACATCTTTAAATAATTTACGGTATATGTTTTCAATTATCTGAGTTCATGTACTTGGCGCTCTATAGCCAGTGAGCTGAAGATCTGCATCTAATATAGAATAATCAGAAATCAAATGTGTATACTCATACACGCTTTTGTTCCGATAAATATTTTCGCACCAAAATTAAGAGGGAAATGCAAAACAAAATTAAAATCCGTAATATTGGACGAGTTTAAGAAATATATACAATAGCTGGAGAGGAGCACGTCATTAAAATCAATACTCACTGAAAAAAGGCCCTAATAAGAATTTGAAAATATAGAATTAGAGGGCTGGATGTTCCGTAGTGTAATTAAAACAAAGAGAGGGACCTGAAGAAAAATATATTTCATGTGCGGATCTAGGGAGGAGGAAAGGGGGGGGGGTTTCCAGCCCTCTGGAATTTGCAGATTTTTTTTCACGTTTGGGAATGGACTTTACGTTTTTATTTTTTATTTTTTGTTTGTTTGTTTGTTTGTTTTTGTTTCTGTGTTTGATACTTTTTTAAAAATTTTATTTTATTTTATTTATTTATTTATTTTTTTGCTTGTCAAGAAATTTTGACAGGGGTGCCCCCCGGAACAAAATAACTGGATCCGCGCCAGTATGTGTCCTGTTGCGTAATCTTACTCATCTGAAAAATGTGCCAGATGCCGTAAGGCTCTTACTTAGCATATACACGTATTTCTATTCCCAGCAAAATTACCTATGCTATAGTTTAGGTAGACTAAGAGGATTGTATTGTTACCAATTTAAAAGCATAAATAAAGATCAATGAATCAAATTTTGAAATGCCTCTTATTCTTCTGAAAAGTTTTTCTTCAATATCAATCTCATGATCAAAATATGATTTTTCTTTACATTTAATGAAAACCAAAATCTACAACAAATATTGAAAGAATGAAAAAGTATACTTGTTATTACGAATATAGCTCAGGTACAATTGTACAAGGGGAGGACACAGTGATTCTGAAACACCCCCAAATTCAAGGAAATCTTGAATCCGCTCCTGCAAAAATATAGGTCGTCAGAGTCAGCATGGATCAACCTTTAACATAAATACCAGTTCGCCAGTGGTAGATGATAACGTCGGACAGGCCGACAGAATATGGAGCGTTGGGTTGGACGGGTAGCGCTGGTGACCGGGGCTTCGGTTGGGATAGGGGCCGCAATTACAAGAGCTCTTGTTAAGCATGGAATGAAAGTAGTTGGCTGTGCGAGAAACGTCCAACAAATTGAGGTAACTGCATGTGAAGAATAAATCTCTTACATCTAAAGGAGTGTGTCCAAATGTTTTAAAAAAGGTATGTCTCCGATACACATTAGCAATGGCATTTATTATTAGAAACAAAATACTCTTTGAACTGTTGAACTCGTGCTGCAGGCGTAAAACAGGTAACAGGAGCGGATCCATGACTCAAAGTCTCGGGGGGAGGGGGAGTTGTTTAGGCAAGGGGTCTGGGGGCAGAATCGAGGCCCCAGTGTCCAGAGCAAACTTAATAAGCCCCTGGAAGCTCCGAGATTCTAGAGATTTCAACCATGATTTATTTTTGGGGGTGGATTGGGGATGGGGGATCGGAAGCTCCTGGATTCTACAGATTTTGTAAAATTGAAGTCTTGTATAAGTAAGCATGTTTACTATTTCTTATCGTCATGATGAACAGCTATAGTTCATATTAAGGTCTGTGGAATCAAAGCCTTGGAGTCAGACCCCAAGAAAGCTCGGACTGTCTTTTAAGAATAAAGAAAGATATACCCTTTTATCAAATAACTGATTTCTTTTCAAAGAAGGAACCATGCATGATTTATCTTAGGTTTAAACATGGGGGGGGGGGGGCATACCCTCTAAATCCGTCAGTCACTGTATATAGACAGGGAGTAAATGCAACCATTGAAACTTGACAACATTATATAAGAATAAAGCAGGGAGGGAGAATTAACCCAGAGTTTTAAGTTGAGATGAGAAGGTGAAGGGACATCTTTAGCTTAGAGACGAGTGGGGGGTAACAAAAAATGATGCATAGTGAGATGCTTTTTTTTTTTTTTTTTAAATTCCAGGCAATAAAAAACGAGTTGAAATCAGAAAAAGGACAGCTTATTCCAGTGAAATGTGATCTTACGAAAGAGGAGGAGATTCTTTCGATGTTTGGGCGGATCCAGGACGAATTAGGCGGTGTGGATGTTTGTATTAACAACGCTGGATTGGCACATAACTCGCCTCTTCTGTCTGGCAGTACTGCGGACTGGCGGAATATGCTAGATGTAAGATAATTGTCCTAACTGCTATAACTTTTAAGACGCATTGTGGACGAAGAAAATTACGAGATAACGTTAAGTAATTATTAGATATGATTATAAAGTTCTTTTCTTGATCACTAAATTCCACACAGAAATTCTTTAATTTCGTGTGAAAGTTTCAGAGTATGGTTTCTGGCAAATTCAGCCGTGTTTTTTTTTGGGGGGGGGGGGGGGGAGGGGGGTTCGTGTGGGGGAATCATTTTTTATTATTAAGGAAATACGAAGGAAAGATAGTAGTTAACCACCTTTCCTGGTCAGATAATAAATAACACAACATATATACATGTATTCTTAATAGGTGAATGTTTTGGCTCTTTGTATTTGTACCAAAGAAGCTTTTCAACAAATGCAGAAAAATAAAGTAGACGATGGTCATATTTTTCTGATTAATAGGTAAGAATTAATAGTGAAACTTAATGAAGAAATATATATTTGAATAATAACATAATACAATATCTAAGATATTTTGCTTAGATATTATTCTGTTGCAGCCTTTTATTCTATTTCTACTGATTAAAACTTATTTATTCTTCATATGATTGACTTCTTTTCTCTTCGAATGATATTTTAGCGCTGTAAAGCATCGTTACCACGTAATACACAAATCTTGTACACTTCCATAAATAGTTATACCATAATGATATACTGTAGATTTGGCGTTCATGGCTCTTTTTCACTCACGAAAAAGGTATATAATCTCTTTACAAGTGTTCGAATTAATTGGTGGTGTTATGTTTGTTTTGCAGCATGTCTGGACATCGTGTGATTCGAAATCCCGGCGGACATTTTTATTCGGCCACAAAATATGCCGTGTCTGGACTATTAGAAGGAATAAGAAACGAACTCACGCAACTGGAAACCCACATACGTGTTACGGTGAATTTTTTCTCATTTTTTTGTACACATTAGAAGTTATAAGTGTAGAATTTTAATTTCTCATTTGTGCCAACCCCCCCCCCCCCCCCCCCCCCAATTATCACCACCCTCTTCTCTCCCATCAATTCGAGAAATCGGCACTTACGAACATTTCTCTTATTAATAAATATTTCTGTCTTAGCACAGGAATGTAATTAAATGAAATCAATCTAGATCAAAACTTCATCTTGTTGACTAAAATATAAGATTTATAGATCGTAGAAGTGCTTTTATATATATAGTATTAATTGGCCCCAAAGAGGTAAATAGTTTTGTTATGGAATTTTCCGTTCCCTCTCTTCAAACTTTGTTAACAATTTGAAAGGGGGAGGGGTCAATTGTGCTGACAAAAAGTTCCCTATTACTGTACATGTATTTCAATTATTATCTTAACTGAGCATATTTACATGTACCCTTTAACGTGAACTTACAAAATATTCATGTACAGGCTATTAGCCCTGGGATGGTGAAAACGGAGTTTGAAATAAGACGAACAAAAAGTAAAGAAGAAGGGGAGAAAATTTATGCAGAGTATAAGGTACCTAAATAGTGAATGTATTTTTTTTTTTTACCTTAACAGTCTGTGAGTCCCGGTTTAGTAGCCACGGAATTCCAGCAAAGAATGCACAAAAGCGAGGAGAAGGGAAAGGCTATTTGCAGCCACTTCAAGGTCAGCGGAAATCAAAGTATTTTTATTGAAGGTCTCCGAGAGTTAATTAAACTTGATTGAGAAACAAAATTTATATCCTAGGTTTGATTTTGTTTCATTTAATTTTAGTTGACTTTTTCAAATCATTTAGCTATGTAGAATACCGGTACATGTAAGATATGGATAATGAGTACAGTAATCATGTTTTAAACTTTCAAACGAAAATAAGAGACATCAAGGGTATATGCTCCATTCTCATTCTATATATCGCGGGTTCCAATCTAATTAAAATAAGATGTTCCGAACATCTAATTTTAATTAGATTGCGCGGTTCCATCATATTCGTGGTATAATTTTTCTTTTTACAGAAGTTTAAAACTTATTTCTGGAATTCAACTAAGGTATCTGTCAAAATGAATAAAAAAAATATCAAATCAGGGAAAGACATTTGCATTCAACTTTAAGTTTAAAATGTCCGTTATTAACAACAAATACAATGTATATACAGTCATGTGTGTATATATATATATATATATATATATATATATATATATATATATATATATATATATATATATATATATATACTGTATACAGGATTATTTTTTTCGCCATTTCACACTTTCACAATTCTCACAGACACAGTGGTTATGTAAAAGACATTGCTGTCCTCTTTGAAATAACCACTTCTAAATTCGCCCACTGGCGACGAGGGCGAAAGGGGCGAAAATAAACGAACAAAATTTTCTCTGTGAGCAGGAAGATTTCAATTTCTAAACGTTAAGGACATGTTGCAAACAATTTTTTCTTTGGAGGAGACTTAATATCAAGTCACAGTTTTAGAAAAGTGGATAATTCTTTGAATTTTTCTCCTTAGACTTGGAGAATGAAATACCTTCCTTATTTTCCCCCAAAAAGTACACAACTAGAGTAATCATGGTAAAATTGTTTAACCTTCATTCATTTCCCTCTTTTTTTCTTCAAAAATGTTTCTTAAGGAGCACAGAGTGAAGTGATATTACATTTACTCAATAACCTGTTGTATTTTTTGCATAAAAGAAATGACACTTGGAAAATATAAGTTGATAATTCAAAAAATTACAAATATGGACAAATCACATTCGGTAAAGGTTTACAGATGAAAATAAATTTCAGAATATGTTAGTTTGGTGCTAAAAGTGTAATATAAACTTTAAAACAATATACCAAGCCAGGTGAATTTTATGAGGAAAAGCAAAATGGTAAAAATCAGCACATAGCACATAGGCTGATTTTTACCATTTTGTTTTTCCTCATAAAATTCACCTGGCTTGGTATATTGTTTTAAAGTTTATATTACACTTTTGGCACCAAACTAACATATTCTGAAATTTATTTTCATCTGTAAACCTTTATTGAGTGTGATTTGTCCATATTTGTAATTTTATTGAAGTATTAACTAATATTTTCCAAGTGTCATTTCTTTTAATGCAAGAAAATACAACAGGTTATTGAGTAAATGTAATATCAGTTCACTCTGTGCTCCTTTAGAAACATTTTTGAAGAAAAAAAAGGGAAATGAATGAAGATTAAACAATTTTACCATGATTACTCTAGTTGTGTACTTTTTGGGGGAAATAAGGAAGGTATTTCATTCTCCAAGTCTAAGGAGAAAAATTCAAAGAATTATCCACTTTTCTAAAACTGTGACATGATATCAAGTCTCCTCCAAAGAAAAAAAAATGTTTGTATCATCTGTCCTTAAAGAGCTGCGATAATGAATAGAATATGTTTATTCACCAATCAAGGGCCCTCAGGGGGCATATACAATTATTTCAGAATGGTTACATATAAATAACATTAAAGTATATTGTAATATGAAAGAATATGAATCATATCTATCTTGAGGGTATAAATGAAAGATGTACAATACCACGAGTAGGATACTCATGAAAATGCAAGATTTGTAACATAATCACAATAGTCTGAAACTGGATCAAAAATATTGAGTAGGAAGAAAACTGAAGGAAGATAAAGAAATTGACAAATAATTATATGTACCTACTAAATTCAACCTTTTTTAAAGTGATTATAGGTATTTTACATTCTAGTATAAAATACATAGTTACATACCCACATACATATACATAGTCGTACAAACATATGCATACCTACATACATTATTATAATACACATATATACACAAATATACAATTATATTTAACAGTAAATAAGTAATATTAATACTATTGTTTAGTGTAGAAAAGGTAGCTTGAACACAGAGGGTACCAGGGGACGATGCCTCTGCACAGTCAATTTTACTGGCAAACCCGTACCCTAAGTATTCAAGGCACTCAATCATTTCACTTTTGAAGGATATAGGGGGAAAACACAAGTAACATATAAAAACTATGTACTTTACATAGAATGGACCTTAATAAATTTACTAATATTTTATATTCCAGCTTTCAGAATCATTTTACTAGCTTGAATTAGTATTTGCACATCCTCATTGGTCATAAGCCAAGTTAACTTATTATCACTGTCCAAGTTGTGAAAATTCTTACAGGATTTGTTTATTAATTCATACAAGACATTTCTTTCATCTTTAACATGATTACATGAAAGAAGAAAATGTTTTTCGTGTGAGACACCGGTTTATATTTATAAAAATGGTTGTTGTACCCCTTCCCTAAAAACTTTATCATTATTATTTATTTTATTTTTTTTAACAGTTAATTAATATAAGAGATTACTATTACGATTACTTTGACTACTGTACTGTGATCCAATTTTTTCACAATCTTATAGTATACAATAACAACATCTTACTGAAATAAAAAAAAAGCCAAACTTTTTATTGTATAAAATCAGGGATGATTTAATTGCCATCACAAGAAAGCAAGCTATAATATCAGTATAATGTACTGATGTTTTAGTGTTTAGAAGAAAACAAAATCTTGTATAATGTACGAATGTTTTAGTGTTTGGAGGCGGATGACCTAGCGGACGCAGTTTTATATGCACTGAGTGCACCACCACACGTACAAGTAAGTTTTTTATTTTTCTGTAACCGAATACGCTTTAGCACAATATTTTTATTTTCTTCAAGTGATAGACGTAGAAACCACATTCTCTGATAAACAAGAGAGGTAAAGACAGTGAAAGGCCAATAACACCCAATAAAAATACATAATATACTTATTTCTTTATAAATAAATTACACAATATATATTTTCGGAGGGGGGGGGGTTAATTTTTGTTGTTTTCATGGAAAGAAGAGACCCAAGAATTCATATCCTCCACGGATTGTTAAATTTCAAATGTATAATAACTCAATACTTTGTCAACCACGAAATCAAATACCCACGAACACACCTTTTCCCCTCAAACCGCGAAAAATCTTACCCCACGAAAATATGTGATTTTAAAGTATATCTTTTACTAGGAAATAATAATTTCATTCTACAGTATTGAATGTTTTGCATTATCATCTCCCTTAAAAATGTTATAGAAGAAAGTGTATTTTCATTCATGTTTATCTATCCATGAAAATCCAAAGAATTTCGTTGATTTTAGACGGAAATAAGAATGATTTTTTTTTTTACACGCAAAGGAAAGATAATTATTAAAGTAACATATTTATTGCATGATTTTTTTTTATCCATAGAATTAAAAAAAAATCGACTTTTGTACGAATATTACAGTTACCTCGTTTCACATCAATCTTTTCTGGCAGAAAAAAAATAACACAATTCATTTTCATTCGATGTAAAATGGTCCAATACTTCTTTATTCAATTAAGATTAATTAAGCAAAGATAGGCCTTTTGTCCGCTTATAGCCTCTTAGTTTCTCATATACCCTCTATGTAACATAACCTCCTGTGTTACTTTTGTAACCCAATATATGATTCTTGATATAATTTTGTACAAGTACATTTATGTTATTTTTGTAGCCCTACATGTTACCCTTATAAACTTCTATCTTATTCTTTAACCCTCTCAGTCTCTAACTGTGTACTTAAGTAATCCCCCTGGACTTTTGTAATATTGTATGTGTAATCTTCTATATTCTTTGTTACTCTTGTAATCTTCTTTGTTAATCTTGTAAACTTTCATGTTATTACTTTTTGACCCGGATCACCCTGTATGTTACTCTTAAAACCCTCAATATTATTCATATGAATCTCTGTGTAATAGTGGTAAGACCCTCCACGTTATTTTTACAACACTCGATGTTACTCCTATACCACTCTCTGTTACTCATTACATGCGTTGGTACTCAAATAATCCGCTGTTATTCATATATCCCTCAGCGTACTTTTGTAACCATTTGGGCATAATTTGGGCATAATCTTATATTTAACTGTTACATGTATAACACTCCTTTAATAATCTAGAGTACTTCTGTAACCTTCTGTGCATTACACTATATGTAACTGTTATAACACTAGAAATCTCTTGTAATTATCCATGTTACTCTTTTCGCCTTCCTAGTACTGTAATTACCCTCTACGTTACTCTGTAACCCTCTAAATGAATGTTACTCCTATAATTAAGAAATAAGATATCATTTTTAAAGTTTCATTGGGATATGACATGAAGTCGGTCACGTGATCAAATTCCATAACATCCGAAGGGCGCTATAGAATTTGATCACGTGACCGACTTCATGTCATATCCCAATGAAACTCTAAAAATGATATCTTATTTCTTAAATATCGGCATCATGAAAGGGATATACAATATTACAAATGGTATTTATGAAATGCGCTATTTATGTTTTAGATTCATGATATCTTACTGCGACCCACGGAGCAGATGTCCTAACCGTGGGTAGGAAGTCAGGAGACCAATACTTCAAAATGCTACAGAGTATTTTGACTGATGCATTTCTTTTGTTCATGCAATTGTATATCAGCATGCTCTAGATCTGCTGGTTGTGTTGTTAAAGCCATATGTCTATTATCGGTGATTGTATTACGTTAGATGAAGTTACTTATAGACCCAAAAATGTAAAATGAAAAAATTGCTGGATTTTAATGAAAAAAAATTTAAAAAAAAAGATATTTCCATGATCATCGTCGTGTTTTCTCTTTACTTTTGAGGAAGTTCAAGAAATATTGGAGACACTGAAAAAAAAGGCAATGCAAGGTAGTTAAATTGTCCCCACATGTTGACTTGAAATCACAGTGCATATGAGTGAATTAATAAAATGACCAAACACATATTTTTCAACCTGCACGAAAAATACAGGCAATGGGAATAAATTTCTATATCTCAACATATGTCTTTAGATAGTGTCTAAATACCTGCCAAATATAGCATTGATATCTCAATTGACAAAAAAGTTTTGCCCAAAAATGATGCTAAAAATGTCAGGACTGCAACATCTTTTTTGTGACATTTTGAAAAATCAATATTTTTTTTAAAGATCTGTGAAATAAATAATAATGGTCTATGCTGGAAATTAAGACTTTTCTGATAATATTTAAAGTATTGAGCTTTAAATGTAGACTATAGCAACTTTTGTGACCAAGTTGTAGTCATGGCTGATGTTGAAAGAAAATGTTATACCACGTCAGGAGTGCAACAGAGAAAATGAAGTCTTGCCTATATATATATATATATATATATATATATATATATATATATATATATATATATATATATATATATATATAAAATTTAACAACTTGAAAGACAATTAAGTCAAAAAAGAATTTTCAAAGTATAAAACAGTAACTGATATACAATTTAAAACATTAAAATGTTATATAAATCAAAAGCAGCATTAATGAGAGTCAAGTATCTGTGCATACCCAATAACGTCAGGAGTGCAACATTGGATGTTTTGCCCCCCCCCCCCAGCATGAAAAACTTTTATCAGTATATGATTCTCTTGTTTTTATTATAGAAAATAAAGACACGAAGCACATTTTTACTAAATAGATTTATTAATTACAGGGTCTGTCTGTGTTTCAGATCTATATTTCTATGGTCAAGAGTGCAACACATTTTTTTTTTAAAAATTCAAGTTTTATGATGAAAAGACTTCAGTTCGTACTAGGAAATATTCTTTAATTAATAATGATCTATTTGAATAATCAAGTTCTAAATTATTGAGAGTTTTATTATTAAAATCCTTCTCTTTTTCAACTTGATCAATTCATATGTGTTTTTATCTTTTCTTTGATTTTTTTATGAGTGAAAAAATTAAACACACTGACATCTATAAAATACATATAAATATCAGGAGTGCAACACAATAACGTAAAATAGGGTCAATTCAAAATCTAGTAATTTTTTGTAAGAAAACTTGTATTATTAATATCAAATTTTTTTTTATTTTGGGTTCAGATTTCAACAAGTGACTTATATGGACAAAAAAGTGATTTTGGGGGAATTTTATTGTTTCATATTTCTTTCATATTAAAACTTTTCAAACCATAATTGAAAAATGATGTAAAATAACAATCAAAAAGCCACATATTTTCCACATATACAAAAGGAGAAACTCCATCAAGGTTTAGATGTAATCATTTATATCCCTGATACCATTATGAAGCATGAAAAACTATAATAACTTCATTTCTCTGATTATGTATTTTAGAGAAAGTCTTTTAGGATATTGTGATGTTTTACTTTTTCAAATAAAGTTTTACTAATAAAATCCTGAAACTTTTTAATTCAATTGTCTATTTTATTGTATATTCAGGAATTTTAACTTTAATGCATATACAATATAATGATATAAGTAAAGTATGTTATGAGTAGTTGAATTTTTTTTTTTAAATTCAATTTGGTGGTCATTATGTTTGAATTCACCCATATGTATTTCTTGATTGTAAAACAGATAGATATTAATTCTCTGTTCCAGTTTATAATATAACGTCTATCACATTCCAATGTGTTAAACCTGTCAGGGGACTTTCCGCTGATACTAGACAGTGAATTTTGCTGACCATTTTCATGTGAAATGAGTGCAATCGGAGGATATCTTAAATTCTTCCATATCTGAACTCGCGCAAATAACAGTGAAATGTAATTAACCCGACATATTTCAACACAGTTTCGTTTTTAATTTATGTTGGGCACATGCAGAGCACATAAGAAGAAACAATAAAAAAAAAATCCTCTAATTTTATCTCATTATCGATGTTTTAGTGAACATTTTGGCAATTTTTTAGGTAAATGCATGGCTGTGGACAGGCCCAAATTTTAGTTCGGGGGGGGGGGGGGGCACAAACAAACATTTTCAGTTGGGGGCACTAGCAAGCAAAACATACTTGAAAAAAAAAGAAGATAACAACAATGATCGATCTCAAAAGAAAAAAAATCTACAAGCAATACAAATCTGGGCATAAAACACACACTCCCAGAAATTCGAAAGGTAGGATCAGACGCCTAGGAGGCCTAATCATCAACTGTTGACCGGTCTTTCCTCCCCTCCCCCCCCCCCCCCCCGTGAACTCTATGGATTGATCAGGAAGACGGATCATTCCGTAGTCAAATTTAGTATAAAAACAAAGGCCTAAATACGACTCAATGATAAATTATATTTGCTAACAAGATCACGATAACGCCCTTAGAATTTACAAAATGCTGACATAAATCGAGATTGTTGAAATTTCTGTAACATCAATTTAATTGTCAGTAGCCGGCCTCAGTTCAAATATTTACGGTACTCAGAGTATGCTCTTGAGTATTGTATAAGTTGGAAGACGTAAACACCTTAAGCATAAGCAAGTGATAGCAGAATATTAACTAAATAAATAAGAAAAGTTGACGATGGAAAAGCTGAAGTTATCTCGCTTGTCATACAATTTTGTTTTTAGTTGGCACATCGTCTATAGTCAGTAAAACATCCAAATATGAAACAGATGTGGCATACTGTGTTGTCTTTTATGTCAAATATATCGAGTCAACATAGGAATGGAAGTAACTATTGTTAATTGATAACACTTCGTCGATACATCCGAATGTTGAGTTGAAGACCACAGCAAGTGTTTTCTTCTTCTCATGTAGAGAGGTTTTTTTTATAATCTGCTTGGTAGGAATATAAAAAACAGGTCGGCTTATAATATAAAGGAGCACAATTAGTGCCCATTGAAATTCTAACAGTCTCTACAGAAGACATAGGAGGAGTGAAATAAACAAAGAGATGTTGATCTCAAAATTGTTTTAAGCATTTAAAACAGATTCTAAGCTAAGCCTTCCAAAAGTAGACAGAATGAATGTCATCTGTGAGAGACTTGGATATGACTTGCTCTCTAGCTCGCACGAGAGAAACAAATATTTAATAAAATTTAATCTTGCATTCTTCTTTCTGGAATAAGAATACATGCTCTCTAATAACTAACCAAAGATCTAAGATACTGTAAAGACGTAAGGTGCGCTCGAAATACCCAAAGATTGAACAATAAAACAATATTTTCTTTTCACCGTTAACCTAAATATGTTTGGAATTCTTTTCTAATATCAATGTGATGATAGCCCGACTAGAGATCTAACTTTATACAAAAACATTTTTTCCCCGAAATATTACAGAGCTGTTATATAATCTTCAAATTTTATTTTTAATTTTTTTTCTTTCTTTTCAAATTACTTAGATCTCGAATTAGACCTTCTTGCGCTGTTCTCAGCTGTGCGAACACTCAAAGGGCTGACTACTAAAAGCTTCGTCGCTTGCGTCGCGCAGTGGTTAGAGCGTTTGCTCTCAGGAATTCTTCATAACGTCGCATGTTCGAATTCCACTGCGGAATGTGAAGACCGGTCCTTGGATGAGACCGTATAATCCGAGGTCCCGTGTCACAGTAGGTGCTGGTACGAAAAAGATCTCTCACTGCTCAAAGGCCGTAAGTACCGACACATTTCTAAATTTGCAGTCCTTCACCGGCAACGGGTGGCGTCTCGATATGAGAGAATAATTCCTGAAGGGACGTTAAACAAACAAATAAACAATTTTATCTCCGAATGAAAGTATTCATACCTTGATTTTTCGTCATCCTGCAGAAATGCTTACTCAAAGCACAATACAAAAAACAACAGAATACTAATGTATACAGAAAGGTACATGATATATATTATACGTATATATCATGCAATTAAAAAAATATCTAAAACAAAGATTGGATTCTTTCCTGTCTTTTTAATTGGTTTAATGGTTATTACAAATTACCCACAGAACAACACAGTATATAGTATGATGAATTGTACACCAAATCCAAATATCAGAATTTTTTCAAGAAGTCTCAAGTTTATTCTTGTTACCTTTTATCTCACGTACAAAACATGAGTACATATATTTAACTTGTCAACATTTCTATTTAGTGCTGGCAAGAACACGAAAACTAGTCACAATGATCGCCAACTTCAAAAAATGTGTATGGATTACACAATTCTACCTCTTTCTATAAAAGAAATATCTATTGTTTCTATTCAAAAAGTTGTTTTTTTTTTAAATTGAGGAAGGTGTGCTTTTGGAACAAAATGAGCCCGACGTAAACGAAGACGACCGAGTTGTATTACTAATTCATCTGGTTGACATATCAAAAACTGTTATACTACTGCGGAATCATATTACATCAAGTAACACGAAAGATCTTAATTTCAGTACAACTCCTTTTTTCAAATATTTCAGACAAATTCCACAAAAACAAAGGGAAACCATACATTTCTAAATACATATGTATCAGTATCATCAAATGTATTAACATTTTATTTCGAAAATTCTCCTTATTTGTCTTTTAAATGCGGTACTTAAACTTGCATAAGTCGCCCGCGTGGAGAAGTGGTTAGAGCGTTCGCTCTAGAGTCCCGGAGTAAGGAGTTGATCCTTACGTCGCGAGTTCGAATCCCACTGTGGGACGTGGAGACCGGTCCTTCGGATGAGACCGTATAAACCGAGGTCCCATGTCGCAGTAGGTGCTGGCACGAAAAAGACCCCTCACTGCTCAATGGCCGTAAGTGCCAAGTATAGGACAAAATTTGCAGCTCTCCACCGGCAAGTGGTGGCGTCTCCATATGAGTGAAAAATTCTCGAGAGGGACATTGAACAATAAACAAACAAAAATAAACTTGCATAAATCAGATGATCTATTGGTTTTCCTAATGTAAAAGTTAGACACATTGCAATAACGAATAAACCTTGATAAAAAAGAATATCTGACATATCGTATGCCATCTTTGTTGCCATCTTAGCTAATTTTTTTAGAAAGAGATATGTCAGTGTTATTTTTGAAAAAAAAAACATGTATTACAAACGGCAATATTTGGAAGTAAGATACAAAAACATAGGCGTTGGAACGGGGATGGGGAAGGGGGGGGGGGCTAGGGGGCATAGCTCTCCACTTATTTTTTATATGCAAAGAATTGGTACTAAAAGAAGTTCGATCCCCTACCCCCCTCTTACGAAATAGGATTTTTGGGTTTGGACAATTTTCCCTTTTTTTGTTTGTCAAGTTTTTTTTCAGGTTTGATTTTTTTTTCTCTTTCAATTAGCCCCCCCCCCCCTTTCAATTTGCCTACAAAAAAGATTTTTAAAAATCACGATGGACAACACAGAATTCGATGAAATTGTAGATAACGAACAGTATTCAAGCTCAAAGTCTATTAAAACCATGCAAATCGGGAGCAGAGCAAACATGGACCTCCAAAAACAGAGGTGGGATTAGGTGCCATGGAGAAGTGGGCATCCCCTGCCGACTGGTCACACCCACCATGTGCTCTTTGTCATGATCGATAAATGACGGAAAAATCCGTCGTCAATTCAGTGTGGAAATAATGGCCCAACAATCAGCATGAAAAACGTCAGTCAGCATATGACTTAATGATAGATTGTATTTGCTGACAAAGTCATTGTATCGACCATAGAACCTACGAAATGATGACTTCAAATGAGACAGCCCGCTTTCCAATAACTCACCTCGCTTTAGAAACCGTTCATACGTAGAGCATGCTCTCGCGAATCGAATAACTTGAGATATACACCCCATATGCAGGTGAAAAAGGTATATTGCTGCATAGGGGAAGTTGACGATTGAAAAGTTAAAGTCATCACGTTTATCATAAAGCTTTGTTGTTAGATTACCATTAACATGCATATGATTAACGTCTTTTCTAGTAAAATATCCAAATATGAAACAGATGTGTCAGACTCTGTGCAGAATGTTTTTAACAAAAGAATTTTGTAAATGACCAATGACAAGGTAAGTAAATTTACGAGATCCATTTTTATTGAAAAAGCACCTGTCAATGATGTCAAAAAGCTTGGACTTTAGTTTATCGTGGGGAATGATTGTATACAGAGTTGAAAAGTCGTACGTTTTTATGTTATTGATTTTGGTAAAATTTAAAGATTTCAAATTTTCAAAAAGTTCCTTGGAATTTTTAAGTATCCATATCTGATTTACACCACTTCTGGAATATATTGTCGATCTAAAAAATCTAAACAAAGACTGTTCGTACGGAATGAGACCTTAAAAACCGAGGCCCCGTGTCACGGCAGGCGTTGGCACGATAAAGATCCCTCACTGCTCACTGGCCCTTCACCGGTATATGGTGACGTCTTTATGTGAGTGAAAAATTCTTGAATGGGACTTAAAACAACATACAATCAATCAGGATCCAATAACAAACTCTGTATTCGATGAAGCCAAAATCATATCAAAAACTGTCAGAAGTCCATCTCTACATGCACAAACAAAAGTGAAACATACATCTGACAACATGTAATTAAAATATCTGCGTATTCCCGAACAGTTTTCCGCACTTAAACAGGTTGAGCACATTCCTTTTTTCAGTTGATCCCCATTGTGGACCCTCCCTACCCCCGGGGGTGGTGGTGGCCATTTTCAGACTATATTGATCTCCTTTAGAAGAAGAGCTCCATATAAAGATATACAAAAATGATCAAATTTTAAAACTTAAATGTATGAAATCTTTCTTTGCCAAATGACAGTTGACAGCGCAAGATATCATGTCTAAAAAAATTAAGCTATATCTGATGGTTAATTTGTTGACCCCCAGCCTCCTTAAAGTAAAAGTCGTGGATTACTGCTGCATGTGAGTTTAAATTCCTATGCATGTTCAAAAGATGTTACCTCCACGAAACCCATCTATGAAATTTTCCGTTTTTGAACAAATAAGAATATACTTATAAGGGAAATATTCACATCGGTTGGAAGAATACTCATGATGTTGTACGATTAAATCTCAAGTTACTCCTGTCTGCAGCACTAAAGGACCGAAATTCTTTGTCAGCGAGGTTGGTTTAATAAAGTTTTAACACAATTGTTGGTCCACCAGGTTGTCATTGATGGATCTCCAAAACTGGGCTTCCAGTCCATGTCCTTAACAAGAAAAACAGGGACACTGAAGTCTCCTCATAACGAATAGATCTATTACACTGTAGCATTATTATACATATGTTATGTAGAATCAGATTTGTTTAAAGCATGATTCCCGGGGCTACTGCAGGGCCACAATGCTAGACAGGCAATAAAAATTGTAGAAACTAAAAGCTTTTTAAGTAGACTATAACTAAAGTCATATTACAGGCGCGGATCCAATAAATTTTTCCAGGGAGGGTCCACCCCAGTCAAAAAATCGAACCCAGAAATTTCTTGACAAGCAAAAAAAAAAAAAAAAAAAAACAATTAAAACACCCCCCCCCAAAAAAAAAAACAAAACAAAACAAAACAAAACAAAACAAAAACAAAAAAACAAAAACAAAACAAACAACAAAAAAAAAAAAAAAAAAAACAATAAACAAAAAACAAAAAAAAACCCCCTAAACTCCGCCACTCGCTTCTAAATCTATTACTTTTCATACCACCTTAACACGGGTCAGCGTTTTCGGGGGGGGGGTCCCAAGGTCACCTTTAGTAGGTTTAGTATATACGTTTAATAACTCTGCAAATTCCAGAGGGGGGGGACCCCCCGACCCCCCTCAAGATCCGCGCATGTATAATATGCAAGAATCTTCATATGTGAATTCAACGTTTTCCATCATCCCAACTGTGGTTAGGATGGGGTGCCTAACCGGTCAAATATTTTATTTAAAGAGAATTTCCTTATATAGAATACTTGTTCATCGGGTTAGAGGGAGTCAATACGATGACGTCATAATAAGAACACATCATAACAGACTTACGTCACAAAGGTTGCGAACCATTTCTGTTGTCCACAAAACATTTGGGATAATCTGAGACTGTAAACAGCTATAATCTTGAAACGATGGAGAGATTCGGAAGTAAAACAATTGATCAGTGTCTAAAGTCAAGTCTGTTAGAATATTTGTCAAAAATGAAGACCCGAACAATGACTCCAGTGGTAAGCTTCAACAGGAACTTCTGGTTATTTCTTTTTATATGGAAATTAATAAAGCACATCGAAGAACTATTTTACAACATGCAGTGGCTAAGAAATTTATAAAAGATAATCAGGAATGTTCATTTTATATTTCCTTTTTAATTTATTTTCTAGACACGAAACATTCTACAAATCGTCATCTTTCTCTTTGGAAAAGAAACTTCGGAAAAACATTAATTTTTGTATTCCGACAAGAAAGACATTGCTGGTAAGACAATGAAATGTTTATATATACCAAAGATTTTTCGATTTGCAAAAAGTACTAATAAGATAACAATACCGTTTACAATGTATATAAACATGCACATCTATCTTTATTTATTAGCAGAGCAACAGAAGAGATTTATTATATTCTCTTACCTATTCATGGAAGCAGTAAAGAAAAACTTAATTACGGACAAAGACATCATCTTACATAATAGAATGTGGTCCCAACATTTGCAGGATCTGGTCAACGGTGGTAAGTTTAATTTATTATTTTGGTCATTAAAACAAAATATTCCTTTTTTGTTTTTGTTTTATTTTGTTGTTGTTTTTTGTTTTGATTTGATAGAGTCTGGTAGGTTTTTATTTATCTCCGTTAGGAGTATTTATATCTTCCTAACCTCTTGAGAATTCATCTATTTCATCGATACTAATCGAATCTTTTTTTCTTCAGGAAATGAAAAGGAAGCTAAAAGTACCTTAGAATTTTGGAGGACGGGGAAGATGCGATATTCAATGTAAGTATTATATCTGAGGCACTTCACTACCCAATTTTATCGGAGGCGGTGTACCTTAAATTTAATTTGTGTTTGTCGTTGATCCTTTAACTTCACAAAAAATCTCTAGTTATTTATACAACCAGTCTCTTTTCATATTACAGATAAAAAGATTTCAACGTCAGCTTAAAACCACAGACTTACATGTGAAATTCTTGGCAAAAGGCGAAAATTATTTCGAGGCGGAAATGGAGGAGCAGGAAATTAAGGTCCGTTGTAGGAGACCAAACTTGTTTCAGAAAATTGGAATGAAGCTGAAAAGACTGTTTAATTAATATGACCCTCAAAGCTCTTCTTCTTTTTTTGCGAAGTTTCAGGACATCACTAAAGTTCCAGAGAACCGTGTTTCGTTAGATGTATAAGCCTCATATATTTGACTTTATATGTAGCATGCAGTTCAGCTACATGTCATCACCACCACTACCATTTTCATCACCATCCTTTCTTTTTTTTTAATCGGTTTCTTCGTAGAATCATTCTTTTTGTTTATAAAATTTCATTTTCATGGATCTACTTTGAAATTTTACTGATTTTTTTTTGGGGGGGGGGGGGGGGGTAGGTCGTAATTTGAAAAAAAATATTACCATGGAGTTTTTGAGGGATTCTTTTAAGCATTGATAAAAAAAATAATAAACTCATTTATCACTTTCAATGGTGTTCGTTTATTTCAATAACCATATTTTATTTGAAAACGACAAGCAGAAAATACAGGCAAGTAGTACAGAAAATCAAAAAGGATTCGGGAACAAGTTTAAAATACTTATACTAATCCGTTTCCTTATAATTGATTAAGATGACAGACCATTATACGGTTTTAAGCTGCTTAAAAAATGATACATGTATTTGAAATAAACATACATGTTTATTAGAAAGATTGTCGATTCATGCAATGAATGACATTCTAATTACATGTATACAGATGAAATCTAATGGATTTGTACAATATGTATGTATGAGAGAGAGAAAAAAATAACAGAATATGGTTGAATTCACAGGAAAAATACTTAAAGAATAAATACAGGAAAGGTACAGTAGTAAAAAAAAAATATTAATACAAAGTTGAAGAAAAAACAATGACGCTTGCTACACACTCTTAAGAGAATATACAAGTAAATACCCACGGAGGAGGGGTATTGAATAAATACTAGGGGAGAACTGAATACTAGTGTAACGTTTTCGGGTATAGCTGTTGTTTTTGAATATTCTTTTACCCGCTTGATGGGTTACGTTACAATTTGGTGTCAGAAGTGGGATATTATCTTGTTTTTGTTTACCCGAGAAAAAGAAAAACAAACCCATTTCTTAATATTTTGTAAAATTTTTATTTCTCTGAAATTTTTCTTTTAAATACAAGTTTTGTATCATGGAGACTGATGAAAATTTTGAAATTACTTTTAAACCACATGCAACTTCACCCGAAGTTCATGTTGACCCGCATGACAGTCAAGATGTCCCAAATCACCATTCTTTGTCGGCATCAAATTCAATGCTGCATGTACCTGCAAGAGATAATCAACTTGATGTTATTCTCTCAATGTTGCATGATATGAAAATGAAATTTGAACAAGACAGTCATGAAATGAGAGTAAAATTTCAACATGTTGAGAAACAAAATGAAATCTTGCAAAGGGATAATGCTGAACTCAGAAAGTTGTATAATGACAGGGGAGACAATCATCACAGTCCCAGTGCCCCTTTACCTAGAACCCGATCCCAAGCCAACAATGTAAATGAATCCAACTGTCCCTTCAGTTTCTCATTCGGGTCTAAAGAATGCCCACAAACCATTTCCATGAATGACCATCCAATAAATGAATTTTTAACTCATCAAGAAAACAGAGCCCCTTACCCAGCGTCTGTTAAAACCAACATACCTGTAAAATTGAAAGATTTTGACGGGTCGGAGGATTTCAACGATTTCCTGACCCATTTTGAAATCCTGGTTACCTTGCATGGCTGGGACTATAGAACAAAATCCCTTTACTTAGCCAGCAGCCTTGCAGGTAGTGCCGGAGCTTTGCTTACTGAGTTAAATGAAACCCAAAGAACAGATTACAAGTGTTTAGTAGATATCTTAAACAGAAGATTCGGGTCTGTAGAAAGAGCAGAACTTTTTAGAGCCCAACTTAAATCTAGGGTTAAAGGAAACAATGAAACAATATCTGAACTGGCCCAATCTATTAAGAAATTAACCCGCCAGGCCTACCCAACCACTGATCAAAGTGTGCTAAGTATCTTAGCCCTAGAACAATTCATAGATGCCCTACCTGACCCTGATATACGTCTACGCTTAAGAGAGGCAAGGCCCAAAGATATCAATGAAGCAGAAATTCTAGCTATTCGCCTTGAAACCCACAGATTAGCTGACGCTCAGAGATCTGCTTCTACCCTGACCATCAATCCCATTCACAGTAATGAGTTCCAAAGCCTTAGGGAGGAGTTAATCACCATAAAAAACATAGTGACAAACAATCAAAACCCAAAACCCTATTGTAATGATTACGGAATGTTAAGGTACGACCATGCGGATTTCTCAATTAGTCACTGTTGACATCACGTGACATTAGTAGGGTATATATACTGAGACTCCGCAGTCGTCTGTGGTTATTGTTGGAGATCCAGCCGAAGAGTGAAGACGAGTGCAAGTGTAGTATTTACGGTTATTAATTCCTCGCCTGTGTTACAGTTTGAGAGTGAATTTGGAAGGCCATTTGAGGTTTGACAAACCAGATATAAGGCCTGCTACGAAGAGGTTGTCCTCCAGTAAAGAGGCTAGCCATAAAGTTAGTTCGTCTGCATTGGCTGACCAGTCCATCGTCCGGGCTGCTATACTCATTGTCCGTCCTGAATAAGGCATCCTACAGTGAGTGTAGTGGTTGAAGGGCTATCACATATACTGTCCGTCCTGAACAAGGCATCCTACAGTATATGCGGTAGTCTGAGGGCGACTGGGCTCTTAGTGTTAGGTTAGGACTACCAGTTAATTTATTGTTGCTTGCCTCCGATTGTTATATTGATTTATCATTTGATTATTGTTTACCTAGATAAGGTTAGGACATATTTGTATATTTCGGCAGTCCACTTAAATCATATCAATCAGTTTTTAATCAGTTATGTTGAACACCCCAAACCCTGGAATTGACGATCCCTGTGTTTTAATGTAAATACGTTACACTATTATCCACCCAAAGTTCAATCACACTACAAAAATCAAGGCCCAACTACTAACTTCAATAACTCCAGACCACCACCCAACAGAGTTATGTCCCCTAAACAGAATTTTGGGCCAAGATCAAATCCATCCCCAAGACAATTTGATGAAAACAAAAACTGGAAAAATAATTACAAAAGCCCTGAAACTAACCGATTCAGACCCAGTGGACAGGGAAACCTGCCTTTGCCGAATTCAGGGGTCGGAAATCGACAATTCCACAGGGCAGGCCCCAACCACTCTCAGTAACTCCTCAAACTCTCCCACAAGATGTTAGGCAAAATTCTAATTGTTTTACTGATGAATTTAAGAATAACCAAGTTCAAGAAAATGTAAAACTTAGCCCCCAGCCTAACATTGAAAATACGCAAGAAATATAAGTGGGAAACATTAAGGGGGAAAATGATGGCATTTATGTTGAGGGTAAAATTTTAAACGAAAAAACAATAATGTTAGTAGATACAGGTGCTTGTGTCACAATCCTAAGTACAAAGATCTTTGAAAATTTAGAATCTGAGGAAAAGCCCCAAATTACCCCCGTTTCTATTAAACTTGTATTCTGCAAGTGGAGACTTTATATCTGTACAGGGTAAATGTTCCATCGAATTATTATTTGAAAATTTGAGAATCTCTCAGACAGTGTTAGTGGCAGATATTAAAACCCCATGTATTTTAGGGTTAGATTTTCTGAGTAAAAACTCATGTGACCTTTCTTTGAAGAAGATGATGTTAAAGATTCAGGGCTTAGAAATACCTTGCTTTAACAAATCTTATAAGGAAGTGTCTTATTGCAAGATAAGTCTTGCAGAGGATATAATCATTCCTCCCCATTCTGAGTATGTAGCCCCAGCTAGGATTACGGATCCTTTATTTGATTCAAAAATTGGTTTAATTGAACCCTTAGAACAATTTGTTCAAAAACATGAAGTATTGATACCCAAAATCATTACACAAGTACAGGGAACAGAGATTCCTGTAAGATACTTAAATTTGAAAGATGAGAGTGTGAAACTTTATAAGAACACCCATATTGCCACTATTGAAAATGTTGAAGTAGTTGAAAACCCAAAAGACCCCAACCAAACTTTTGCCCTCAATTCCATAGAATCAAATGGTTCACCAAAATTACACTTGCAGTGTATTTTAGAAAACACTACCAAAGAACTTATACCAGAGCAAAAACAAAAACTAGAATCTTTATTGTTAGAGTACCAAAGTAGTTTCTCAGCATCTTCTACTGACAAAGGCCTGACAAATTTAGTTGAACATAAAATCAACACTGGTAATGCCCCTCCAATAAAACAACCACCCAGAAAAAAACCCTTAGCTAAAATGCAAGAGGTTGAAAAAGAAATAAATGACATGTTAGAAAAAGGTGTTATAGAAACTTCAAATAGTCCCTGAAATTCTCCAATTGTGTTAGTTAGAAAGAAAGATGGGTCTATTCGTTTCAGAATTGACTATAGGAAACTTAATGATGTGACCATCAAAGACAGCTACCCCATCCCACGTATTGATACTACCCTTGATGCTCTGTCAGGCTCGAAATGGTTCTCTACCATAGACCTACAGAGCGGGTACTGGCAAGTCAAAATGGACCCCAATGACAAATCCAAAACTGCTTTCTCCATACCTGGAGGTGGACATTGGCAATTCTTGAATATGCCCTTTGGCCTGTGCAATGCAGGTGCAACCTTTGAAAGGTTAATGGAAAAGGTGCTCTCCAATATGCATGGTC